CATATCAGAAATAAATTCTGCCTTGTTACTCTCCTTATTTTGCTTTTGCCAATGTAGACTCTTCAACCTACCAGCTTCTATCCCTCCCAGTTAAAATACTTCTCAACCTTTGCCAACATCGTCAGGCGCAAAAACCAGTTGATAAATACTCTATTGTCAATCTGGAATGGACAGAATGCAACAGGTCATTCATTTTGGGAAACAAAGTGAACTCTTCTTTTGTCTTCATGATTAGTGATTCTTCTCACAGGAAGATTTCATTGAATCTTCGATAAGAGTTATGGATTTCAAGGCATAGATTGTTTTGGCTATGGCCTGACAGTAAAGACTTCGAATAATATGGCAACTTTTTAGATGAATGAGGGATGCTGTTGCTTTTGAGGCAAGAACACTACTGAGCTAGAACTTCTATTAGCGCTAGCTTTTCAATATGTTCCCACTCATGAAACTGTGAGTTAAACAAAAGCTTGGATCTCTGTCTCTTTGGTTAGAATGCATCATTTGATGCTTCCAGATTTAGCTAATTAAATAAGATTATGGAGCTGCAGAAAGCAGAAACTTGTGATATAATTAAACTTGTCATTACAGACCTGATTAGACGGTATGTATTAGATTGGCAAAGTGTGTCAACATCATTGAAGGGGTTACAAAAGAACTTCTGTATCTCCAGGAATACTCGAATTTCACAATCATTCACCGAGTTCTAAAGTTAGCAATATTTACTAGACAGCGAGATGAAACTCAAAATTTCAGATTTCAGAATTGCTAGACTTTTCAGGAAACATGTACATGAGCCCAGCTTTTCTTTCATATTTCCGATATTACCGTATTACTTATCATGGCAATTCATCGTTCACTGACTTTGCCAAATATGAAAACACTCGTTCGCTTTGAATGCAAAATCTGGGATAAGACTTGATATCGAACAATGTTCATGTAGTGGAGGAACTTTACTTGCAATGTTAGTGGCGAACTTTGAATTTCACTGGAAAGAAAAATAATTGTCTCCTTCCTCTGAGGTTTTGTTACAAATTTATAATATAATGTTATATCGGGTCGTCTCGGACCTTTGGGTCTAGGAAGAGGCTTTCACCTATGTTTGTGTTATACAACATTGTATCAAAAACATAAACGAAAATTTTATAAACTCAATATCAACTTGTATAGTTGTATATTGTTATGTAATAGCCAAAATTGTCCCTTTAAATTTGTTATTGGCGTGACAGTAAATATTCAGAATTCAATCTCTAGAAATCATGCAAGCTAAGTCAACTATGTCAGTCATTATATTCATTTCACCCTCCTCTCCCAACAACCTTTAGAAGCTTGCCCTTACCATCATTAAACTGGATCACATTACTTTATCCACCAACCTTTGTACCTTTACCATCAGATGAATCAATAGACAATCAATAAGCTCAAAAATATCTTGGTTTATACTAGTATTGCAACATCGACAATGTTAACGAAGACGATCATGAATCATTTTATAAACTTTGCACGCTACCCTTAACTATACCTTTATTATTAGTAATGTTAGGTCTACAAAGTTTTCTCACAATCTCTGACGTGGTAACTCGTCATTGGTTAGCTCGCAAATAAGCAGACGAGACACATTTTACAAGCTGACCAATGACGAGTTGTCACATCGGGATTATGAAAAAATATGATGAGACTGGATTGTGGACCTAACATTACTCTCTCGATTATATATACCTAACTATATCTTTTGAGGGCATTTTAATCATAAATTGGACTTTATTAGTCTTCATTTCCCGGTTTCCATATCTTAACATATGTTTATGGGACACGGCATCAATTAACTTTCTTCTATGGCAAGCAAAAATATCATCCTCCTAATTTTCGTTTTTCTTTCTTCTTATCACTTACAATTTTCAGCTGCACAAACCTGGATCAAAGCTAGCAATATTTTACTAGACAGAGAGATGAACCCCAAAATTTCATATTTCAGAATGGCTAGACTTTTCAGGAAACATGTATAGAAGCAAACACAGGCAGACTTGTTGGAATATAGTAAGTAATTCACTTCACATTATCTTTATTATGCTTCCTTTGCCATATAGTAACCAATTTTCATTGATATTCAATATCTGCAGTGGCTGCATTCCTCCTGAGTAGAGGTGGGTAGGGACCAGTCCCAAGCAGGCCCAGGCCTGGGCCCGTTTGGGACTGGTCCCAAATGAGACCAGTCACTCATGGGCCTAGGACCGGTCCCAGGCCCATGAGAAAAATTAGGACCCGGACCAGGCCTTAGGCCTGGTAGGGACTGGTCCCATGGGCCCAAGGCCGGTTCAAGGACTGGTCCCATGGGGCTTGGATAATCTTTTTTCCCCTCTCAATTTTTTTTATATTTTGGGGGCAAAACAAAATTTTATAGGGGGTTTTTAGTATTTTTTTTAGGGGTAAAATTTATAAATTTTATAAATTTTTTAGACCTGGAAGATTTTTTTTATAAATTTTGTAAAAAAAATTTTAACCCTCGTAATTTATATTTATTTTAAAATTAATAGGAGGTTTTATGTAATTTGACAAGGGACTATATTGAAAAAATACAAAAAATTTTGGGCCCAGGCCTGGGACTTGGAGGAGGGCCCTCCTCCTTAGGTCTAGTCCCGTTTAGGGACCAGGCCTCCTAGGTCTGATCCTCTCAAGGACCGGTCCTAGGACCGGGTTTTGGAGCTGGGCTTTTGGGCCCAGTCCCAAATGCCCAGCTCTACTCTTGAGTATGTAAAGAAAGGGATATACTCCATGAAATATGACGTTTATAGCTTTGGAGTCCTACTTTTGCAAACCATAAGTGGCAGGAGGAGTGCATGTTTTTATGGCACAAATGAGAGTTTGAATCTTCTTGAAATAAAATGCATTTGACTTGTAAGCAGGCATATGAACAATGGAAATACAGCAGAAGTATGGAGTTTATTGACCTGGCACTCGATGATTCATCTTTGCCTTGTAAAATTATGAGATGTATTTAAGTTGCACCGTTATGTGTACAAGAAAATCCAGTGGACAGACCATCTATGTTGTAAGTTTCTTCAATGCTCAAAAATGATACAATACGTCTATTGATGTTCCTAAAAGGCATGCATAAATTTTAATGATTCACAATTTCCCATAGTTGGAACCCAGATGAGATTGTAGGCTTTAGATTGATTATTTAGACTAACACAACACATCATAAACTTTATATCTCAAGTCATGTTTCTTTAAGATTAATAGCATAAATTTTAACATGAATTTATTCATGCAATCTCATCACTGAATCACAAAAACAATACATAATCTCAATTCAATTCAATGATAACCCAGGATATACATATTAGTTTATAAAATATTGACTAAATAAAATTAGAGAGCGGACAAACCTATTTGAGCCATTATTGAATGCACAGAATCTTCCAATTGAATCGATCGATTGTCGATCATCCTTTCCAAATTAATGAGAGTAATCGATCATACATCTGGAAAGGCGACTTAGCCTTTTAATAATAATTTATTGGGTCCTCCTATTACAGGCTCAATGAATTATGTAGTCCACACTTACATCGTCATAACCCAGATCAATTAAATATGAAGTATATCAGGCTTTCAAGAAATGATCACAAAACCCATTAAAATATCTCATTGGACTATGTTTACCCAGTTTGATTAAATCAAAATATTAATCCATATTAACCCATAATTAGGACATTTGCCAACAGTATCAAGCTACGTCGTATTACCACTATTTAAGTGGTGGGATAATATGTGATCTTTATAATCTCCAAGTCCCACTCAACGAAGTGGCCAGGGGATATTACTTTCTATATAAAAGCATTACAAAAGTTGTCATATTATTTAAAAGTGCTTAATATTTTGATTATAGAATAGCTAAAAACCTACACCTTTCAAAATCATTGACATTATCATCTTCCTTCCATATGTCCCTTCACTTTCACAAGCATACACAAATGCTAGACAAACACATGAACCACCCAATAAAAGTTAGAAATTTTCTAGTTGATTAATTGAAAATTAATTATTTAATTATTTTCATTTGAATCTCTCTCTTATATATATTTATTCCCTCATGTTTCATGGGTTGATGTTTCTTTCAATTGTTTTTTTGGTAAACCATTGAGACTAAAGGGGTCCTTAAGCAGACTTTTATATATATATATATAATTTTTTTTTTTTTTTTTTTTTTTTTATGGTACTTTGAAAATTACAAGTCTAAATCTTATGCATTATTTAAGAGACCAAGTTTAACGTTTGTTATGACTTTTCATATCTCAACCATTTGAACTAAAATTCATTGAAGTTTAATCATTTAAATCTTTAAGATTAGTTGAGACTAATTTATAATTATTTGTTTGGTGACCAGAGATGTCCGAGCTCACTTACGCACACCTCAACTAATCCTTCAAAGTCATCCCTATTAACAACCGAGGGGAATCAAACTCATGATCTCTTGAGTAATACACCCAAAAGTACATATTTGACCACCCAGTCACCCAGGGGTGGTTAATTTATAAATATTATTGTGTTCTCTTTATGCCCCAAAAATAAATTCATTTTGATGCTAATTACTCTTAAATTTATACAAAACAATATTTATTTGATGAAGCAAATTAACCAATTCAATCAAACATTAAGCTTGATGCCAATAAGAAGTGGACAAAGTAACTTGATTTTTCTAACACAACTTTGAATAGGTCATCATAAAAAGTGTTAATTAATTGAAAAATACCTAATCAACTAGACTAGTCTCAAGAAATATACATAACTATCATTTTAACTATAATCAAACCTTAATTATTTTGTTAACCTCAAGAATCTGAACCCCATTTGCCTTTGGATAAACACAACCCTCCAAAACTTTGAAAAATATTTGTCTTCTCATCTACCCCTTTGAATTATTTATCTATACATTACTTGTATTATGTGTATATATAAACGCAACCTCTTTCATTATGGGGGTGCATTTGTGAAATATTAGAACTTTATTCTAAGAAAAATGGCATGTATCAAATATTATATGTCTCTCTTTTCTATGGTTATTTGCCTCACAACCATGGCTGCCACCAGCTCTGTCGTAGCGTCGCCACCGGCAGTCAAAGCTGCTTACTGGCCTTCATCGTCTGAGAATTTCCCTCCATCAGCCATAAAGACATCTTTGTTCACACATATATACTATGCCTTTCTTAATCCGAGTAACATTACATACAAGTTTGAAATCACGAATTCGACGGCTATTCTTCTGTCCAACTTCACCACCACCCTCCACCACAAAACTCCAATGGTGAAGACGCTTTTCTCAATCGGTGGTGGTGGTTCTGACTCTACACTCTTTGCTCTCATAGCTTCCAATCCTCAGTCACGTAAAGTGTTCATAAATTCAGCTCTTGAGGTTGCACGTAAATTTGGGTTTGATGGGCTGGACCTTGACTGGGAGTTCCCTAAAACCCCAAAAGAGATGCATGATTTGGGCCACCTATTTCACGAATGGCGGCTCGCAATTGACAACGAGGCTAAGGCCACAAACCAACCTCCTCTACTGTTCACTGCTGCCGTATACTTCTCCGTAGACTTTTTCGTTGACAAAATCTACCGAAAATACCCAGTTGATTCAATTATTCAAAATCTAGATTGGGTTAGTCCAATGTGCTTTGATTATCACGGGTCTTGGGATAACACGACAACGGGAGCCCACGCCGCATTGTACGACCCAACGAGCAACGTAAGCACAAGCTACGGGCTCAAATCGTGGCTAAGGGCCGGTGTACCGGAAAGCAAATTGGTTATGGGCCTTCCTCTCTATGGGAAGTCTTGGATTCTAAAGGAACCAAATTCTAACGGGATTGGATCACCAGCACTTGCAATTGGCCCAGGAGAGGATGGTGTGCTGGTTTTCTACAAAGTGGAGGAGTTTAATAAGAAGAATGGTGCCACTGTGATTTATGATTTGGAAAGTGTATCCACATATTCATTTGTGGGCTCAACATGGATCGGGTATGATGATCCCATATCAACCACTATAAAAATTGGGTATGCGCAGGCCCTTGGGCTTCGTGGGTACTTCTTTTGGGCCGTCAGTTTCGATCACGAATGGAAAATTTCAACCCAAGGTAACGATACTTTCCACCTCTTATTACATAAAGACCCCTTAAATGATTGTCCAATTTATCGACATCTATTATTTTCAAGAAAATATAACAATCTTTCAATTATTTAAAGGGGTTTTCTATAATTAGATGAGTCATTTAAAGGATTTTTTTTATATTCTGAAAGTTATAGATGTCGATAAAATTAAGTGATTCTCGAGGGATCGATGATAATAGTCTTATTTGATTGATTTTGATCGGTTTCAATTATTTAAAATTGAGTTGTTTGATCTAAAATACTTAAAAAGACGAGGAACTACTCCTTTGATGGATGTAGCAGGCTAATTGTCCTATTTCCGATATTCTTATATATTATTTTGGAGATTTATAATTCTTCTGTTTTATTGGATGAAATTTCACTGATTTAGAGTTAAACGAACCACATAACTCATATTTTTATTTTTATTTATTATATTTGCAGCTTCCAGGGCATGGATTCTCAATGATTGGAATGAAACTCCGTAGTTCAAGCGTGGAGATTTTTTTTTTTTTTTCGGTTGGGTTGATTAATAATTCATGTAATGAAATTTTTTCTGCTTTTTTTTTTTTTTTTTTTTTTTATGCATTTGAAAAGAAGAGCATCCAAGGATGAAGGAAATCACAATGCCATAATTAAATCCTCACTCTCTTGAGATGTTTTAGTTATAAGAATTCACTCAAATATTAATATTAATATATTATGAAAAATAAGGCACATTGATTTGGTAATTAGAAACGTTAATACAAATTACATCCCTGTCTTATAACATTCCGTCAAGTTCAACCAAGTAGATCTTATTGGCTTTAAGATCAAGTTCACAAATTTACGTTTGGGTTCACACAAGCGTTTTTTATCAAATAGATATTATCTGTTTTTGATCTAAATCTAAACGGGTTTACTTTTTAGACTTTAGTAAGTATCATTCACCCAAAACATGTATACTTACCTTAATTACGAGGATCCAAGTCTTATAAACTGAATCACAAAATCCTTTTTCACTAACAATATAAGATGTGTCACGTTCGATCTTTTTTTACAAGTCTATCTCTAGATTTTATAAGAATATAACAATGGACTTATAATAAATAAATAAATAAATAAAACTGTAAATCGTAACTTTTCATGATAGAGATATACTAATTGTTGGATATGGTTCATACTTCGCATGACCTTAACGGATTATCAGCTAACGCAGACGCATTCAGGTCCCGCTGCCCCTTCATGACAAGCCCAATTAGTAATTGGGTTTAGAATTGACTTGCAAATATTTGGGTCTAGGCTAGGTTAGATCGAGTAAGCCCAAACAAGGTTAGGTTTTCTATTATATGCATTTTATAATAATAAAAAAATCCAGAGAGTGAAAAATAGAGAGCATGAGAGTAAACCGTTAATACTTATTATTATCGTATTCTACAAATTACTGAAACTCAATAAAATACTTTATTTGAATGTTGTACGTAATTTCTTTATTAGAATTAACCAGGATAAATCAATTGTCTGCTTTATCATTGTATGTGTTTTGGCTGTGGTTTCAACACTAATCTACACCTATTACCCATAAACTTGTTAAAACCACTATCAATATCATTATTTAAATTGTTCACGAGGTACCAAAATTAACGGTAAAGTTATAATTAACAAAAACTTATAACGATCAAGGCCTTCAAGATATATAGTGTAATGAAATATTTCTTTTAATTAATTGCTTAATGAGTAAAAAAGTATTAACATTGATCTTTACTTATTTCTTGATGTCCCTGATTGAAGAAATATATATAATATAGTTGATTTATTTTTCCCAATATGGATATCATTTATCTCCTCCTCGTGTGGGGGAAAATACTGTGTCAAAATGCTACAAAATTACTATTAAAAGCATGGAAAATGAAATTTATTTGTCACATCCAAATTAAGAAACAACCATAGAAAAAGCTCATGATAATAAGCAATAATCTTCATAGACGATTAGCTTCTAATAAGGAGATGGAGATGGAGGCATCGAAGAGGGCATTGTAGGTGGAGGTTCAACAGAAGGAGATGAAGTCACAGAAGAAGGCATTGGTGATGGAGATGGAGGCTCAGGATATGGCAATAATGGCAATATTGGAGGCAAAGACGGCAATGATAGAAGTGGAGGCAAAGATGGCAATGGAGGCAATTCTGGAAGTGGAGGCAATGAAGATGGAAATGCTGATGGAAAAGATATAGTTCTGGATTCTGATGCTGGAGGATAACGCTGAGACCATGGAGATGGAGATGGAGATGCTTCAGGAGTGGATGGTTCAGGACTTGTTTTAGCCGGTGAAGGAGCTGGAGGATAAAGCTGAGACCATGGCGGTGAAGATTCTGAAGGGGTCAATGGTATAGGCCATGAAGGATCTGGTGAAGCTGCAGGAGACCATGAAGCTGGGGGAGATTTTGGAGCTGATGTTCCAGGCAATGGAGAATATTGATCTTCTGGGGGGTAATTAGTGAGACTCCTGGAAGGAAATCCTGTAGAGAATGGAAAGATTGCAAAAGCAATCAGGGCAATGGTCCAGAAGAAAGACATAGTTTTCAGGTACCCATTGTCAGAATTTTCCTGAAGACCAAGGCCCTGTGATTATTGCAGGTTTCTTAGTTTAACCATGAAGACGCATATGCTTATATATCAGGGTGTGATAGTGCAAGAAGACTATGTTTTATCGCCATTAATGGCTTTTTCTGGTTCTATGCTTGAGGTATTCTTGCGAAGAGAAGTTTGAGCTTTGATTGGTCGCATACATATATTATTATACATCAATCCATGTCTCTTACATATGTTTTTTTTTGAAAAACGAGATTTTGATAACAATTCACGAAAATTTATATATTTTATTGTAAAAGAAAAATTTTGCAGTCCTATTTCAACTTTTACATACAAGAGTCAATTCTTGATAGCGAAAATTTTATATCTAAACTTTAAGTTCACATTAAAAAATTTCATAGCAGAAAGACTGTCGTGGAGTTTCTTAGCTTCCATAAGCCGGTATATTAATTTTGTCAAGTTCAATAATGATTTGGTTTGTAATATCAACCTGACTTATGTTGTTTTCATCAAACCTGGATATGTTTGGGGGTGTTTCAAAGGGTTTTTCACAGAACAAACAAAAAAGTGATTTAATTGATTAAAAGTGCTTCACACATAACCTTAAATGCCATTTTTATTCCTATGGTACTTCGTAAAACAGAATATACCTTTTTCCTGGAGTTTCTTTTGAATATTTGTATTTATCTATAACGTATTTTTCCTGTAAACTTTGGGTTCACACAAGTATTTTTATCAAGTAAATATTATATGTTTTAAATAGACTCACACGGGTTACTTGGACTTCAATAAGCATCATTCACCCAAAACACGTCTACTTAATTATGAGAATCCAAATTTTATAAACTAGAATACAAAATCCTTTTGCTAATGATACAAGATCGTCCGATGCTTTTTTAGAAGTTGATCTCTAGATTTTATAAGAATACATTAATATAATATTATGAACAATAAGGCACATTTATTGGTATTTAGAAACGTTACCAATCCCTAATTAGATACGACACTGATTCCATTAAGATACAAAATACACACATATATATATATATTTGTCTTATAAAATCTTTGTCTGTAAAAGTTTGGGTTCACACAAGCATTTTTATAAGTAAATATATTGTTTTTATCTAACTCACACGGGTTTACTTTTGGACTTCAGTAATCATTATTCACCTAAAACACATTTATTTAATTATGAGAATCCAAATCTTATAGACCAAATTACAAATATTTTTGCTAATGATACAAGATGCACCATGTCGGATGCTTTTTTTACAAGTCGATCTCTAGATTTTGTAAGAATTAACAATGACTTCTAATAACTAAAACACCCAAAAAAAAAAAAAAAAAAAAAAAAAAAAAAAAAATCTGTTAATAGTAACTTTTAACGATAGAGATATACTCATGTCAACCCATAAACTTGTTAAACCATTATCCATATCATTTATGTCCTCCTGTGGGGGAAAATAGTGTATCAAAGTTACTATATGATATTACAAGCATGGAATATGAAATTTATTTATCACATCCAAATTAAGAAGTAAATATAGAAAAAGCTCATGATAATAAGCAGAAATCTTCTACCATTCCCATGCGTTTGAAGCTGCCAAAACGAAACACAAAATTCATTCAGTTAGTCTAACATTACAAGTCATGAAAGAATGAAAAATATTTTTGAAAACTCAGATAAATTTTGCCATGTTGAAAATTGTAAAATTTTGTCTTCCAATTCTTGTACTATAAACACCAAAAATATATTTTTGTGCATCATGTTGTAATATAATCAGTCGACAAGAAATCAAATATTCTCTACCAACGCTTGATACGATATACTCTCATTGACGAATTGTATTGTAACATGATATATAAAAATATTTCTTGTAAAGAAACATATATTAACGTCCACAGCTCAGAATTTCAATTGTTATGTCACCCAAATCATGAAATAATGCAAGAAAAATTACCTGCTAGGGAGAGTTCCCAATCACTGTCATACCCAAGTACCCAAAAAAAGTACCCAAGAAGCTCATTTCTCTTAGCATACTCAATCTTATCGTCGATAGAACTAGGTCCATCATACCCAATCCAGTCTGTTCCTTTATAAGAATATTGAGAAACTGTGGCATTATCATACACCATAGTGGTGTCATTGCCCTCATTGAACTCTTTTATTTCCTTGTATGACATAACTCCTTGCGTTCCAGGGCCAACTCCGACTGCTGGTGCACCAATTCCATGTTCTTCAGGATCTTTCAGCTTCCAGGTTCTGCCATACATGGGCAGCCCCATCACAATCTTTTCAGGAAGTACTCCGGCCATAGGCCAGGCATCCATTCCATAACTTGTGCTAATCCTGCTAGTATTGTCAAACAACAAAGCATGTTCCGCCGTGGCTGAAGTGTCCCAACTTCCATGGTAGTCGAAGTTCATAATGTTGACAAAATCAAGATTGTCTCTAATGGCAACTCCAGGGTAGCTCCTGGGAACATCTGATAGGAAAAAATCAGGAGAAAAGTAAACTGCAGCGGAGAGGAGAAGGCGAGGTTTTGCAGAATATTTCGACACATTTTCAGCGTATTCTCGCCATTCTTTGAACAGAAGTGCAAGGTTTGACATGTCTTCTTTTGTGGCTGGGAATACCCAGCTGAAGTCTAGGCCATCAAAGCCATATTTTCTTGCTACTTGGACGGTGGATTCGATGAAGATTGCACGATTTTCACTTTTATTGACCATTTTGGAGAAAGTATCAGGGCTTATTCCATCTCCACCAATGGATAGGACAGCTTTTAGCGGTGGGGTTTGAGTGTGGAGAGTGGCTGTGAAGTTCTTCATCCAGTGATCCTCAAGTTTAGTGATGGAGAGCTTATAAGTTGAGGAGTTTATAGAAGCGAAGGCAAAGAATAAATGTGTGAAATATGTCATCGGAATTGCTGAAGGAGGGACATCTTGAGCTATCCAGACAGGCCAGTATCCCCCTTTGATACCATTGGAGGGAGGAAATACTGGAGATGGTATTGGTGATTGGGGTGGAGGCTCAGGATATGGCATTGTTGGAGGCATAGAAGCTGGCGGTGGAGTTTCGACAGATGGATAAGGAGGCATTGAAGATGGAATTGGAGGTGGAGATGGAGGCTCAGGATATGGCATTGTTGGGGGCATAGAAGCTGGCGGTGGAGTTTCGACAGATGGATAAGGAGGCATTGAAGATGGAATTGGAGGTGGAGATGGAGGCTCAGGATATGGCATTGTTGGAGGCATGGAAGAGGGCATTGGAGGTGGAGTTTCGACAGATGGATAAGGAGGCATTGAAGATGGAATTGGAGAAGGAGGCTCAGGACATGGCATTGTTGGAGGCATGGATGAGGGCATTGGAGGTGGAGGTTCAACAGATGGATAAGGAGGCATTGATAATAGAATTGGAGATTGAGATGGAGGCTCAGGATATGGCATTGATGGAGGCATGGAAGAGGACATTGGAGGTGGAGGTTCAACATATGGATATGGAGTCACAGAAGAAGGCATTGGTGCTGGAGATGAAGGCGCAGGATATGGCAATGCTGGCAATGGAGGCAAGAAAGGAGCCAATTCTGCAAGTGGAGGCAATGAATGTGAAAAAGATATAGGACTGAATTCTGATGGTGGAGGATAAAGCTGAGACCATGGAGATGGAGATGCTTCAGGAGTGGATGGTTCAGGCCTTGTTTTAGCCGGTGAAAGAGCTGGAGGATAAAGCTGAGACCATGGAGATGAAGATTCTGAAGGGGTCAATGGTATAGGCCATGAAGGATCTGGTGACGCTGCAGGAGACCATGAAGCTGGGGAAGATTTTGGAGCTGATGTTCCAGGCCCTGGAGAATATTGATTTTCTGGTGGATAATTAGTGAGACTCCTGTAAGGAAATCCTGTAGAGAATGGAAAGATTGCACAAGCAATCAGGACAATGGTCCAGAAAAAAGACATAGTTTTCAGCCTACCCATTGTCAGAATTTTCCTGATGGTCAAGGCCTAGTGATAATTGCAGGTTTCTTAGTTTTACCATGAAGAAGCATATGCTTATATATCAGGACATTGATGGTGCAATAAGGCTATGTTTTTATCGCCATTAATGGCTTTATTTGGTTATATGCTTGGAGGTTTGCGCTCAGACTCTTGCTAAGAAGAAGTTTGAGCTTTGATTTGGTCACACTACATATTATTACACATTAATCCGCATCTCATACAAATGTCTGTATTTTTCAAAAAACAGGATTTCGATAGCAGTTCATGAAAATTTATAATTTTTTTCATTAAAAGTTAAAATTTTGCAAACTCATTTCAGCTTTTACAGCAAGAGTCAATTTTTGATAGTGAAAATTTTATATCTAAACTTTAAGTTTACATCTAAGAAATTTCGTAGCAGAATGCCAATTGTGTAGTTTCTTATGCTTCTCATATTCAATGATTTGGTTGGTAACACCAACCTTGACTTTTTGTTGTTTTCATCAAACCTGGATATGTTTGGGGGTTTTTTTCCTTTAAATGCCATTTTTATTCCTCTGTACTTCGTTAAACAAAATATACCTTTTTCCTGGAGTTTGTGTTGGATTTTAACCAAGTGACAATCACATTTCTAGCATCTTTCTTGTTATAAAACAAGATTGATCAATAAGATCAAAAATAAAAGCTAAAATCAAAGACCTTTCTGGGCATCTTTAGCATAGTTTGACTTCATAAAAAGCAAATAAATATTTGGAAACTCATAAGTTGATGACAAATTACATAATCTCAATGAACATTTGGTCTTGGTTTTCACTACTGAAAGCACATTCTCTTCTTATTCTGCTTACTTTTCATAGCTGATCATCTTCTTCCTTGGCTTCATCCGATCCTTTACATCATCCTTTCATTATCAAATCGATATTAGGCTGGTTAATTCATGTTAATTGCGACAGGGTTTCGAGTCAATTTTGTATAGTTTGTTTGTTCAAACACACAGAACTGAACATTAGTGTTGTTATCTTATACAAGTTTCTCTTTGTGAATCTCTAGTCCACTTATGTATATAGATATCATTCCTTTTATTAAAATAAAAGAGGGTTTTCGATTAAACTGAGTTTGCTGAACTTTTAAAGATCTGATGTTAAAAAAATGATTCGAAAAATTAAAGGACAATAGTGTTACATATAATATATTTTATTTGTTAAGAATCGTGAAACAATACAACAAAAAGGAATCTTTCAAACCCATAACAATGCCAAACAGGTTGAAACAGCAAAATCAAATACTAAAAATGATCCTGGAAATGGCAGAAAAATCTATTTGGGTGGGTGAGTGTTGTCAGAATGGGCAACACCAGCTGTAACCTTGGCAACATCAAGAGCCGAGGCTTCAGGTTTTTTCTTGGAGTACAAAACAAGGTAGCCAATGACGCCGGCACAAGCAAATCCTGTAATCGCCATTTTTATCGGACACTGGCCAAGGCTTTTACGCTGGCCAAGAACCTCTGATGAATGTTGTGCTACTTGGTCTGGCCCTGCCATTTTCAACCTCTTTGAATTTTGTTTCCTGTTGGTTACTCTGTCAGTTTTGTTTCAGGATTTGGGTGGATATTGTTGTCTGTTTTGATGGACATAAACGAAATTCACACAGGATAATTATGTGTAAGGAAGATGGTAATAGAATTTTGAAGAATTTATGTGTTTCCTTTGTTAAATCATCGGACAATACTTGGTGATTCATAGTCTTTTTGAATCAGTTTTCTCGGATCTACCAATTGACTTCTTCATTGAAAAAAAAATTATCTAACTCTAAATCTCCTCCTCTTTCGGACTGGAGCACTTCCCTTGTTCCTTTCCAATAAGGCAAAGGATAACTCCATCCTTTTGTTTTATATCCTTCGGTTGCAACAAGTACAGAACCGTGCTTGCACTGGTATTAGCCGGCCGCCTGACCAGGCTAGAATTGATCAGGAGAGGGAAAGTAGCGGTATAGTAGGGGAGTTTAGTTGCCGGTGTGTAATTTCAAGAATGTTGGGCTATCACGAAAGCAAGTTAGAAGAGCTGCAGTTTACTCAGTTGATCAAGAGCAAGTTGGGCTAGAATTCAAGTGATTCGATTGCTTAGAATATAACAAAGTACGTAACAAAACAAGATATTGGTAATAGATCGAATAGGGCGACTGAAAAAATAAAAAAATTTATTTTATAGATGAACCAATCAGTATTCAAATCAAATTTCAGAGAAATGGAGGTTGATAACATAGATCGATAAAATTTAATTATAATTATTTTATATTAAGAATTTTCTTTCTTCTAATAAAATCACCGATTAGTTTTTACTAAAACATAACATAATACTAAAAGAACTAGTCCTGCATTTAATATATTTTGTTTAATTTAACACCATTTTGGTTTCCAAATACCAGATATATGGTAAGACCAGCTAATCATAGAACGAATGTGACACATGTCGACGTAACATCCTATAATTAGTTGGTCGACTGTAAATCCGTTGTAGGATAAAAAAAATAAATAAAAAAATAAAAAAACCTGATCAGCAATTAAAGTGGCCACACAATCAAAGCACCTGGAATCAGGCAGATGGAAGGTAAAACAGACAGAACTGAACAAAGAATGTAACAGAATATGCTATAACTATTTAGATTGAAAATCTAGTCTTATACAGCGATTACTCTAACCAAAACTGGCTCTTGAACTCAAACCGGTTAGTGGAGAAATTCAACAATTAACCAATCGAATATCAAAAAAAAATTGTTGCAGAAAATTTTTTTTTGAGTAATTGTCGTGTCTCCATGTAGTTGTCCGGTATAAGTGGTTTATAGAAGAGCAAGCATGGTTAAGGATTCTGCAAAGTGCTGTAGACAAAACCATCGAAACAAAGTTGTTCAGAATTCGGGATTCTCTTACGTATACTCCAGAATTCTAGAGTTCAGAAGCAGTTGTCTAAGAAGGGATAGTTACCTTGTATAAAAAAAAGCATAGCACAATTAGATGTCGAAACTATCTATTGCTTTTCTCTCAACCACTCAACAAAACTGTCAAGGATCAAGGGCCAAGCTTGGGCTTCATCATAGTTCTGAAGATCTGGAAAGCTAATCTGCCAAGAAGAAATATTGAATGGGTTGAACATTGCAAAAAAACCGGCCAAGTACCATTCTCCAACATGAATTTACTCCCATGTAGAATGCAATGCACATATATTTACGTCGAGAAAGTGAAAAGCTAACAGATACAACTTTGACAATTAAACACAAAGCTTTTTCCTGCCATATACTGTCCTGTCGTTTAGAAATAATTTGTAAAGACAAAATTATGTTAACCGTTAAAACATAGTTTAGAGAATGGTGCAACGTGAGAGAAACATGTTTGCTTTATGTTTTCTAATAATAGGATCCTGATCACATATATCCTCCAGAAAATGGAAATTAATCACTTTGTGTTATTTATTTTGTAAATTAGAGCTACTTAGTGGGCTCTTTAATCCAATTGGGATCTGAGAAGTTCATTGATTAGATTAGAAGACTTAGCAAAATTTCAAAAAGATGTATATATTACAAACGATTAGCTTACCTCTCTGCAAAAGCGAAGAAAATTCACCCACTGATCCAAGTTTATCACCTTGTAATCACTCTGGACCTGAAAGAAGAAACAAACCCAACCATGGCAAAAAAGTTTCATTAGAGGAAATACTGAGAAGACAACATGTACTCCACATCAACAAACTCATTAGTAAATCTCAAAAGAATAGTGCGCCAAAAAAAGAAATGAGAAGTTAGTTTTGCTGCCAACCTTTAGATACTCAATTAACGAATCAACCTGGAGACAGAATTGGGACCTTAGAACAAGATTTAGCAATTCACAGATGGTCTCAATGTCTATACACTTTTGCTTCTCTTCTGAAGAAATTGAAAAAAAAAATATCAGGGCTTATTGAAATATTAATTTGAAGAGAGAGTTTTCATTGAAACAAAAAAATGGAAATTCCATGTCATTAAAAGATATGTCTCACCTGTTAAGTGGTAGCGGAATGCAAAAGAATGGAAATCCTCAAGTTGTGACGGCTCCTTAACCTTTACAGGATACAAAAACATGAAGCATTTTCACCCAATTGCCAGTTGTTAAGAAGCATATATTATCACATACAAAACATGACTGCAAAAACTGTTCAAGTAAGTCAAGAAACTATACGAAACGAATGAAAATACCTCTTTCCCCAGTTCTGAAACTGCTTTCTTCAGTGACCTAAGAGAGTCAACCTTACAGGTTTTAAGACCTTTTTGCCACTCATCCTGACAAAATTAGGATCAATCATCACATAATTAATGCATACAAGACATGTATATATATATAAGACATTAGATGAAAACAGTGAAATTAAAAGACATTAGATGAATAGTGATTTGTTCTAGTACAACACCACTGAGAGCAATAATAAATTTATAATAGCAGTATAAGCCTACAAGTTTCTAAAATCACTGCTATGGCTTACCTGGGTAAAATAACCCAGCTTTGCTGCCTTCAATTTCCTGTAATTACAGAAAACCAAAACTAAATATCAGTTAAAAAGTTAATCAGTATGAAGCACAAACCAGCACTGATTCCACATTAGAATAGATACCAAGCAAGCAACAATATCCTGACATCAGTGTGCTCCATTTCCAGATCCTTGCAAAGAACCATAATTCCATCTGGACTGCTCATCAAAACATAAAAATATGAAAAATTCAGTAATAATATCAAATATGCAGAATCTATAACATCAACTTCATTGACCACCGTTTGTGCTTACATCAACTTTCAGACAGTTGTAACATTACAACAGATTTCTAATAATTCTCATATTAAGATGGACAGATTTCTTCATTAACAAATACATAAATAAAGAGCTTTTTTTTCAGTTTAAATAGGGAACATTAGCCATTTTGGCTGATGAACAAGAAAACAAGAAGTAAAGACAACCGTCATTAATAAACACACATGCCGTACAACAAAACTCCTACGAAATTAGATTAAAAAATAAATTTATAGGAAAGATATACAAACGAAAGAAGTAATTACCTAGCATGATAGCAGTTAAATGACTATTTCAAGAACACAACAAACATGATAAATTTGTTTTAGAATTGTAGATACTTACTCAATTATACCATTGTTTGCATATTTATTGAACAAGTCTATTCGTTCCCCATCCTTTGTTTTAGCTTTAACTAACATGAAAAACAAGCATCATATGGTTAGACACTACGGGATCCATGGTTAAACAGATGAAAACAAAACTTTTACACAACTTCTAGCAAATTGTAGGTGATCAATATTTAGACACAAATAAATCAAAATCATACCCCAGGTTTACACACCTGCAAATCATGCATTCAGTTAAAACTTAGAAGAATAGAGTATTATACCTGCAAACTCATTATATCAATGTTTACATACAAAATGATTTAATACTGCCGTGTTTTCATCATATCATCTATTTTAATTTCCCTTTGGATTATCTTTATATTACATTAACTTCTATATAAGAGTTTGCAAGGTGATACTACTAACATGGAAAAAACTTGTACGGAATAAACGTAACACGTCATCAGTAAGTCTATCCAACAAAAACAAGCCACATACACTTTTTTTTTTTTTCCCAAAATCATAGGCCCCACCAAGTCCCTCACCTGTCTACCATTAAACTTACTAAGTGTAGTAAACTCAATCGCAAAACCAAAGTTAAAACCCCAAATCCTAAATCCGAAACCCTCTTTGTTAAATCAAAACTGTAAACTCTCTAATTATTGCAATAAATTAATAGATAAAAACTTAACTACAACAACAATAAGATCTAATTACTCCCACTCCTTAGAAATAACATAACATGATTAGAACCAAAAAGAAATTTTTTGAACTTTCCTAGCCATTCAACAAACAATTTTCATCTCAAAACAGTCCACGAATAAACAAAAGCTACAAGTTTTTAAAGTATCTCCTAAAAGTTTCGATCTTTCTTTTCCTTTTAGCTATATGTTTCAATTTTTTATTTCCTTTTTAACATTCTGCTATTTTCCCGCGCTTTCTAGGCAATCAAACAAAAAGATTGAAACTTTCAGCACATAATCAATCCCTCCTTTAAAATAACAAAACTTGAACAAACCCCAAATAAAAATAAATAAATGAATAAATAAAAGTCTTTTACATCGATTCTCCTTGCTGTTTAACAAACAAGTATCTTCTCAACTACAAATTCTAATAAATTAGCTAAAGGTTTCAATCTTTCTTCCACTTTCCCGCGTTTTCTTGGCAAACAAACATAAAAGTAAAGAACTTTCTGAAAATTAAAAAGAAAAATAGAAGTGGGTACCAGAACGAGAGTCAGAAAAAGATTTGACACGTGAAGGGCTAGGTGGGGCCGATGATTTTCTCTTGCAAGAGCGAGGCATTGTGGTGACTGATGGTGTTTGAATGAATTTCTCGTTGTTGAAAAGTCTTGGAGATCAAAAAACGAGAACCCAACCACAACCGCCTGATCTGATTACCACAAAATCCCAGTTTGACTAACAGTTGAAAGAGATTTGAGATTGAGAGAGAGCAGCTTGTGTACTTACAGGTATATATATACCGTTTCCTCATACGCTTAGGTTCGGGAGTTAGGTGTGGGTTATGGTTTCATGTTAATGTAACTCTAATTTGGTCCGTCATAATGCAGGAATCAGTACCTACTTTACTAGGGTAAGGTTACCCCACTACAGGTAAAGTTACCCATCACCGGTACCCCACTATGATACTTCAATTTTGGTTAGATGGATTTTGGTTATCTTTGTTAAGGTAAAGATTAATTGTTATTGAGGCTTCGATCTCAGTCTAATAGATTACTGAAGCTTCAGTTTTGGTTAAGTGAGTATTGATTTCAATATAATTTTGGGATCGGACACAGTATAAAAGATCTTTTAGAAGTTTATATTCCTTAGAAGGACGATCGAGCATAAGTGTCTTTATGACACAATCAATAATTCATTTCATTTTCTTTGTGGCTAAACAACAAACTCTTTAATTAATGAAATTAGTTATATGCCGTTGTTTTGTGTTTAAGTCGTGGAAGAGGTAATTATTAGTTTACCCAAAAAAATAATAATAATAATAATTCACTTCATTTTCAATTAGATCTTGCTTTAACCTCTTCAGGGTTATTATTTCTTTGGTAGCTCAACACATGTACTCTTTTACTTGCTTATGCATTCATACTTTCATAGCATAAGACTTTATTACTAAATCTGCGTTATATATACTCATCACCAGACGCCAATACATCATAGAATTCATCCTGAAAAGAGCTTTTACTCATGGAGCTATATTTTTTATTAGAGAATACAATTCGGAACAAAATTAGGATAATGTATTGGCAAAAATGTTAGAGCATAAGGGTCTGTTTGAGAGTTTTTTTTTTTTTTTTCCACTGGTATTGAACAAGAACAGAGAGAAGAAAAACGAGAAGAAAATTACTTCATTGATTAATCGAAGAAATTACAAAGAATGTAAAACTACTGATATAAATAGCAGGGAAGAAATATACTCAACCAAAAATACAATTTGTCTACAGCTATACAACCAATGAACAAATGACACCTATACAAGTCTAACAAACTCCTATATACAGTATTTACATGTGTAGTGTATTTTTTAGAGGTTTATAAAACACCTTAAATCGGGATGTTTTAGTTGGTTTTAAAATTTTATTTCATAAATACTCTATCAACTACAAAACTATCCAAATTATATCCAAAAAAAAAATTTAACCGTATTATGCACGTCTCCAACCATATTAAATATAAAATAATTTTAAGCAATCATAAAAAAATAAAAAAATAAAAAAAAATTATTAAAATCTCATTTCTAGATGCTTTATTAGAGAAGTGGAGCTATAATTTTTCAATCATTCCAGATGCTGCAAAAAATTGTGAAGAATGATAAGGAGACTTTATAGCATTTGAAGTTATAAAATACTAATAAGTATAAAACAAATAAAGAACTCTTACCTTGTAATTGAAAAAACAAAACTCCCAAGAATTGGTTGAAGTTGAGTATTTTTATGGGCATATATATAAATTTATCATTTTAAAAAACTGTCAGAACCGTTGGAAAATAAACTTTCAAGCACAAGTTGGGTATTTTAAAAACCGCTACTAAAAACCTTTCAAAACCGCTACGGTCTCATAACTGCTACCATGAAACTCCCAAACAGACTCTAAAGAAACTATTAATATTGTACTTTTGGTCTAATAGGTCTTGATCATTTGTATTGGGGTAAGGTTACTCGCTACTAATGCTTCAATCTTTGGTCTTATGGATCTTGGTCATCGTAGTGATCTAATGGTACACTAAAGTGAGAACACAACTAATGATTTGATCTAAGTCAAATGAGAATCATTTGTATTAGAGCAAGATTACCAATCAGTGACGCTTCGATCTTTATATAATAGGTTTTGGTCATTCTTTTGATCCACTATTAGAGTAAACTTTTTTTTTTTTTCTTTTGTGACCTGTGGTTAGACCGGGCAAAACAGGTCTGGACCGCAGGTCAACCCTAAACCTGGATAAAAATATAGGGTGTGGGTCTTTAATATTGGACCCGTTTTTCTTCTAGCCGTACCCGACCCCAACCGTTTTGCCAACATGTCAAGCAGGTACACCCGCGGGTACCCGTTTGTTTTTTTTTTTTTTTTTTAACCCTTTCCCCTTTTCATTTTGCCCCAAATCTCAAAATCCCTAACTCAAACTCACTCTCTCCGTCTCTCATCAACCTTCTCTCAAACCCATCGTCACCAAAATCCCTAACTCCATCGTCGTCGCTTCTCCTGTCTTTGTTTCTCATCAGCCACGTTTGCAGTCTCCATTGTCAGCGCATCAAGGTATGTGTATCACCGTCGCCGATTTGATCTCATCTCCTTCGTCTTTACTCTTCACTCTTCAGCAGCTCTCCAATTCTTGGAGTCGATTCTCCGGCTTCTTTAGCTTCTCCTCAGCTACAATCTAGTAACATTAAGGGTTGCTCTTCTTGCTCTATTCTTATTGTTCTGCAGATAACAAATGTCAATCATTTGTATTCTTTTGGAAACCACTATAACACGATTCTCCGGCAGCCCGCTGTTGCTTTTCTTCTGTAAATTTTTTCTTTTTTTAGATTTTTTTTATGTGGGTTTATTTGGTTGATAAGGAATGAAAGGACAATCGATAAAGTTTTTTTATCTTTTTCTTTGTTAGGTTCTGGGTTTCTGTTTGGTTGGTGAGAAAACTTGGGAGAAAAATTGGGTTTCTTTTTTCTGTTTGGTTGGTAACAAATTTAAATTTTGCTCAAGAATCAAGATTTTAGGAAGATTTTGGGGTTTAACTACAAAAATCTAAAACTGGAATGAACAGTACGGGCACCCGCAGGTCCACCCATACCTGCATAAGATACGGTGCGAGTCCAAAATATTAGCCTATTTAAATCGACCCGTTTTGAGCCCGTACCCGTGAGACCTGCACCTGTTTAGACCTGACCCACCCGTCTGTTTTGCCAGGTCTACCTATGGTGTTTAGGCTAACTTGCACATACCTTCATTAATTCCTTAGGGTCCTGAAGTTAATGACCAAATAAACCCTTCAGTGACTACCCCTATTAACTACTAATTTTTTTAAGACCTCTTAAATAATACGCCTAAGAGTTTATATTGCCCCATCCGCCCGCAGGGGTGGCTAGAGTAAACTTATCTTAGCATTGACTTTTGATCTTAGATGACCTCAGTATATTAGTCATATGATTCCAAGGCTAAGAGAATTACGGCCCAAATGCATTCATCATAAAAGGCCTCTAATAATCCTACCAAAAAGGCCCATATTATAACACAAGCCCAACTCAGTGCTTACCGCTGAAATAACTGTACTATATAAACCGACCTAACCGTCTCGAACTAGGGTTTTATTCGCCAGCAGCAGCAGCAGCTTTAGGTTCGTCAACCTCTGGTCTCCGAAGCTCCGCAAGGAAAAATGGTAAAACCCCATCTTGTTTCAGGTCTTTTGGTCACTGTGTCGAGCTTATTTTTGGCTCCTAAGCTCTAGTTTTTTTTTTTTATATATATATGTCACAAAAATGTAAGTGTTTGACTTGAGTTTTTATGTGTGTAGCCGTCACACAAGACGTTCATCATCAAGAAGAAGCTGGCGAAGAAGATGAGACAGAACAGGCCCATCCCTCACTGGATCCGTATGCGCACAGACAACACTATCAGGTATTGATGGGATTTTTTTTTTGTTGTTGTTGGAGTTGAAAGCATTTTAGTTGATGGGTTTGTTTTGTTTGTTTTTGTTGCAGGTATAATGCGAAGCGTAGGCACTGGCGCCGTACCAAGCTAGGGTTCTAAGATGGATGAGTTAGTTTAAGCATTTGATTTTCTTAAGTCTTATTAGTTTAATTGCAAGACTGAGTTTTGTTTTAATTTTTGGAGCTACTGAGAGATTAATCTTTTGAGATTTATTGTATGTTTTATTTTTTCGAGTTATGGTTTTGACCTTAACTAATCTATCTATCTCAATGTGAGATGTTCAAGTTGCTTTTCTAATGCCTCTCTTAATCATTTTGTTATTGGAATGTGTTCAATGTTATTTTCTTTTCTCCTATGCGATGGGGTGTGGTTGAGTTTACTCAAAGTAAGGTAGTTTTCTAATGGGATTGTATGGTTTTGATGGATGCATGTCTTCTCTGGTAATATCATCTTTGCATAGGAATTGTGGTATTTTTCCCCACAAGAATCTGAACCTAGTTATGGTCAGAAGTTATTAGCGTGAGCATAAGTTAGAGGAAGAGTTACGCTGATTGTACTTGAGTGGCACAGTGCATTAGAATCTCAGGCATAAGGTTGTTTTTCATTTTTATGATCGATCCGTTGACTAGATGTTCATGAAAAACAATTGAAGTTTGTTCAGTGAGGATCAAGGAGACTGAACATGTAGAAGATAATTTGTGAAGTTGGTCGAAGAGTTTAATGTAATTTTAGTTGCTATGTTGAAGATGAAAAATTCATTTTCTTCAGAGGAGTCTGTTTATTTGAGGTTGGTAGGTGTAGAGACAGTGGCCTTATCACCAGAATTCTGCATATGTTCAATTAGTGAGTAAAGAGAGGCTGTGAAATCTATCCAGATAGATGTAAGTAGTCATTTTCTTGTTGATTGTTTATATCAGCTTTTGTAGGGAAGGGAAGTGGAGATATTGATTAACAATGGAATACATCAGGAGTTTCAAAAACCATTTTGATTTCATGTTTATGCATATTCATGCTAAGCCCATCTGATGTTGTAACTATTGACTGGAAAGTCCTGAAATAAAAATAGATCTTCTCCCCATGGTTTGTGTATAGTATGTAATGTGATTTGATCGAATGCGGTTTTTATGCGGCAATTATACTAGAGAACCTAACCATGGCTACTGGTGATATCCTTTTTGTGCTCCAATTATCACCATATCATAACAATAGTACGCTTAGAGATACATGCTTGCTTGCATTACTTATTCTTTTGTTTAAATTTTACTTTGTTGAGATTTAGATTTGATAATAATGACTGTTAAATGCACTTATGGAGCTGTTGATGTGTTTCAGTTGAATGGAAACAACTTCCTTATACCTTGTTTATGTGTCTAACCAATCTCGTCTATCATATTTGTATGGTATGGCTCATGTCTGGTCTATGGATTAATGTGCGTCCGGCCGATCAAAGCGTATCATGTGTCTGGTCAAGGTGCATCATGTGTGGTTTATACACAGATTAATGTGTGCTAATCTGATTGTTTGACCTATCATGGACGGTGTTTGATATACATGAACGATTTAAAAAGGCATATAATGTCAGCTTATTTTAGAAAGAGTAGGATTAAACTTACAACTTTTTCATATAATCTTGATGTGGCAGTTTGCAATTGGTAAAGTAGCAGTAGGTCTCATCTGTCCAAATACAAACAGATCAATTGAGTTATCACCTTAAGGTTGTATAAAAAAGTTACATGAAAAAGTTGTAAGTGTAGTTTTAGGCTTTGTTTTGTTCCTTTTTGGGAATACTATTATTAGTATTTTCAATGAAGTTAAATAGTAAAATTGTAAAAACTTACAATATTATTCAACTTTTTTTAAACCCCTTAAATTTGTTAATTTAATTAAAAACCCTTAAATATTTTTTTAAAAATTTCAAAAAAACCCTAGCAACCTATATTTACCAGATTCCGGTTACCACCGTCGGAAAATGGTCGGAATCTAGTACAATGGCGTACTACCAGTTGAATCTGGCCGGTAGTGCGTCGATCTAGCATTTTTCAGTCAGATCTACGATGGATCTGGTCGGAAAAGGTCATATCTAAGGCCAAAGATTTGGCTGTTGACGGCCAGATCTTTGGCTATAGCAGGTCATCAATGACGGCCAACCCATGGTCGTCGTTGACCATCAACGACGGTCGTATCTTTGGCTTGACCATTAACGACGGTCGTATCTTTGGCCGTCATTGGCGAGAAAATACGACCAGATCTGGCCGTCAATGGCTAGATCTAGCCGTAGATCTGGCCGAAAAATGTCATATCGGCACACGACTTGCAAGATCCAGCTGGTCATGCGCCGATACGATGACTCCGACCACCCTCCGGTGGTGGTGGCCGGTTGTCCATATTTAATGGACAGATTGAGAGTGTTTTTGTTAACTTTTAATGTTTTATTATAGGGGTGTTTAGTAAATAAACAAACACAGGGGGTGTTTAGTAAATAAACAAACACAGGGGGTATTCTTATTTATTTCCAAATTCTACGTCGTAATACCCGTCCAATTCAATTTTTTTTTAACTTTTATCCAAAAACTTTTCTAAAAAGTGTAAAAAAATGAATCAAACGGAGCCTTATTGTTTTAAAAAGGAAGTTCTTTTTTGAATTATCATAAATAAATAAAATAACTCCTTATGAGTAAATCTTTCACACATGTCGATATGTACAACCAGCCAACCATGGACTCATCCCGTGGTTGGTTGGTTGGTTGGTTATACTTAGGGTTGCAAACGAATCGAACATGAATGAACACCTTCGTTCGATAAGCACAAAGGGTTGTTCAAAATCGTGTTTGAACTCGAACGAACATAGAATAGTTGAGTTAGTTTGTTGGATTTGAGTTTTTATTATTATTATTATTATTATTATTGTGTATATACAAAATTATTATCATAAATATATTAATTATAAATTAAATATGTTAAATATGTTATTAAATTATCAAAATTATATATATATATGTATATTATCATTATATAAATTATCATAAATATTTTAAATCTCTACATATATATTTTGTACCAATACCTATAAATTCATAGTGGTATGAGAGTCTATTGTAATATATGATCAATACAAATGTATAATTAATTTGTTATATATATAACTTATATTTAATTAAGCTATTATGTTATTAAATTTGTCATGATATATATCACTTGATTATACAATATGCTATGTTCATCAATTTACCATATTATATTTATTATTTATTAATTGAAATGCTATCTCATAATATTTAATTATTGATTACATTTGGAAAAATATGAAGCTATTATGTTATTAGATTTGCTATGTTATACTCCCTCCGTTTTTTTTTAAGTGTCATTTTGAGGGTATAATTTTTTTTCTAAATAAGTGTCGCTTGTCTTGTCTCAGTTGTCTGATATCTCTATTCTCCCATTTTTGCGATGGCCCACATCTCTTCTCTCTCTCTTTCTCTGCTCTACGTGTCTGCCTCAATCTTCTCTCTCCACTTTTTTGTATGCCCACGCCTCCTCTCTCTTTTTGTTTACATTAAAAAAATCAGTGTATAAAAAAGTGTGTAATTAGCTAAAGCGTCATTTATTTGGAAACGGAGGGAGTATATCACTTCATTATACAATCTATTATGTTATTAAATTTGTCATGTTATGTATTATAATAATTTATTAATTATTAATTAAAATGTTATATACTTATATATTTAATTATTGATGACATTTAAAAAAAAAAATCTAAACATATTATATATATATAAAAAAAAAGTATCATAATATTTTATTATTGATTACCATTAAAAAAATTCATCCAAACTAAACCAAACATTATATAAAAAAGAAAAAAAAAGAAAAAAATACAAATATGATATTAATGCAATTCAAACTAAGGACCTTAAAGTAAAAAGAATTGCATTTTTAACACTAAGCTATAGAAAATCCTTAGATAAATTTAGCACCATATAAATATATATAATAATCTATATCATGTTTTTGAACATAAACAAACAAATAAGTGAACAGGATGTTCGCGAACGGATGGATCACTCGAACGCAATATGTTTGCAAACATAATCAAACGAACACCTCATATCTAAACTCGAATCGAACACATTATTGAACGAATATCGAACTCTTCACAAACAATTTGTAATCGAGTCGAATCGAACTGTTATCAAACGAACATTGAGCTGTTTGCGAACAGCTCAGTTCGTTTGCAGCCCTACTTGTACCTACCACGGGGTCAATTTTCCATACCAAAGGGGTTTGAATGAACTGGTGATCCGAATGAATTGGTGATCTTTACCTTTTTAGCAGTTTCATTTTGGACATCCACACCATTTAACTCTAATAAAAGATGTATACATGGATCAACTTTGTAAGAAATTCAAGTTCATCAATATTAAATAAATTATAACTTAGGTTAAGTAGACATTTAATTATTAACGATTCAATAGTATATGGTAGTTTCTGATACAACGGGGAGAGTTTAATGGCTAAAATTTTGACCCATGAAATCCAAATTTACAAAAGAGAGGCCAAGGAGAAGCCTAGTTCAACAATTTTAAGCAAATTCCGGAGACATTTCTGGCTGCCCAAGTATAATATTGCTTCCAAATAGACAAATCTCAGTCTTCTCTTTGGTGTATAACTTGCAAAATTTAAGTGAAGTCAGTAATTGGAAAATATGAATTGTTTTTATACTTACATATTAATTTCCTCCAATACTTTAATAATAATAATAATAATGAAACTCTATAATCTTAATTATTTCATCATCCAAATGATGTTATATGTACATAAACATCTTTAATTTGCTTATTCTGTGTATACAATGTAGTAGAATGTGAACCACCCCTGGATGGCCGGGTGGAACGATAAGAACTCTTGGGTGTATTATCATTAACTTCAGGATCTTGGAGATTAGTCGAGGTACATGCAATTGGAGGGTTTACTTCATGACAATATCACTCACTAGTAGATTGGGTAGTTTCATTGAGAATGGGATATTCTTGCGGAGCACACATACTGTTGTTACCATTGACTGGAAAGTCCTGAAATAAAGATAGATCTTCTCCCCCATGGTTTGTGTATAGTATGTAATGTCACTTGATCGAATGCAGTTTTTATGCGGCAATTATACTGGAGAACATATCCATGGCTACCACTGACATCCTTTTTATGCACCAGTTATCACCATCTCATTCAGTAATGAAGCTTCCATAGCAAAGGGGTCTGAAGTTCATTAAGATTAAATTAATTATAAGATAAGTTAATTAGACTATAAGTACAGAATTGGAATATCATTTTTAGTATATGATATAGTTTTTGATATTGCGGGGGGAGAGTTTAACGACAAAATTTTTGACACAAATGATTCAACAGACACTAACCAAATTTGAACAGAGAAGAACCGATCCAACTATTTGAGCCTAGTTCAACAATTTGAAGAAAAATCCGGAGACATTTTTGGAAGCAAAACCAACCATCTCCGAATTCCACTCTTTCCCTCTAATTTTCCTACAAAAAAATCAGCTATAAAACTAATCAGAATTGAAGGGAAGAGTTAGCTGCCTCACTGTAATATTGGTTTCAAATAAACAAATTTCGTTCTTCCTCTTTCTCTCTCTTTTTGTATAAAATAGAGTATGGGTGAAGAGGAGGCCTTATTAGAATAACTTGAATAAATTAGACAGTTGAAGAAAGAAGAAGAGCAATAAAGGGCGGTTTTGTGATCTGATCAAAGCTTCTTCTTTCTTCATTAATTAGCAATTTTTTTATTTATTTTCTCCCTACTTTTTTGTAATAAACTTGCAGCATGGCCGATATATCATTAGAAGAAATTAAGAAAGAAAATGTTGATCTTGTAAGTAAACTTTGATTACCCTTTTGCTTAATTTTTTTGTTCAATGAGTTGTGTTTGATCACTGTTTTTTGTGTTTGTGCAGGAGAAAGTTCCTATGGAAGAAGTTTTTGCGCAGCTAAAATGTACAGAAAAAGGGTTAACACAAGAGGAAGGAGAAAAAAGGCTTCAAATATTTGGTATGAATAAACTTGAGGAGAAAAAGGAGAGTAAATTTCTCAAGTTTTTAGGTTTTATGTGGAATCCTTTATCATGGGTTATGGAAGCTGCTGCTATCATGGCCATTGTTTTAGCCAATGGAGGTGGCAAGCCGCCGGATTGGCCTGACTTCATTGGTATTGTTTCTTTGTTGATTATCAACTCTACTATTAGTTTTATTGAAGAAAACAATGCTGGTAATGCTGCAGCTGCTTTGATGGCTGGTCTTGCCCCTAAAACTAAGGTAATTCTGCTTTAACTTCGCATTTTGTGAAGCCAGAAATAATTTCCTGACATTGCAAACGTCTGCGTTTGAGAATAACTGTATAACTTGTATTGCAGGTGTTGAGGGATGGGAAATGGAGAGAGCAAGAGGCAGAGATTTTGGTACCAGGAGATATAATTAGTATCAAGTTGGGAGATATTGTACCGGCTGATGCTCGTCTTTTGGAGGGAGATCCACTGAAGATTGATCAGGCTGCCCTCACTGGTGAGTCCCTCCCGGTTACAAGGAACCCTGGTGAAGAGGTGTTCTCCGGTTCAACCTGCAAGCAAGGTGAAATTGAGGCTGTTGTCATTGCTACTGGTGTCCATACCTTCTTTGGCAAAGCTGCTCACCTTGTCGATAACACTAACAATGTTGGCCACTTCCAAAAGGTAAAGCTGGCCTTCATTTGTGACTTTTCTCATTACTGATGATAAAAATTCTCACATATGAATTGAGTGTTAACTCATTGTTTTGTTTCAATTTGATTGTCCAGGTGTTGACAGCCATTGGTAACTTCTGTATCTGCTCGATTGCAGTGGGGATGTTGCTTGAGATCATCGTGATGTATCCAATCCAGCGCAGGAGTTACAGAGATGGTATTGACAATCTATTGGTGCTTCTTATTGGAGGTATCCCAATTGCCATGCCAACAGTATTGTCAGTGACAATGGCTATTGGATCACATAGGCTGTCACAGCAAGGTGCCATCACAAAGAGGATGACTGCCATTGAAGAAATGGCTGGAATGGATGTTCTCTGCAGTGACAAGACGGGAACTCTCACCCTCAACAGGCTTACAGTAGATAAAAGCCTTATTGAGGTTGGTGTCTGAAGCCAATGCCATGGATAAAAAAAAAAAAAAATTTGACTCCTTATAATAATGGTGTGTATATCTACAATTTCAGGTGTTTGTAAAGGACACCGACAAAGATGGCCTTGTTTTGTATGCAGCAAGGGCTTCCAGGACTGAAAATCAGGATGCTATTGATGCTTCAATTGTTGGAATGTTGAGTGACCCCCAGGAGGTATATACAATATCCATCTCAATAACATTGGTTGTGTGTAGATTCTTCAGACTCAGTGAAGTAAATTATTGTTTTCGTATTGTAGGCGAGAGCTGGAATCACTGAGGTGCATTTCTTACCCTTCAATCCAGTGGACAAGCGCACTGCAATCACCTACATTGACAACCATGGGGACTGGTACAGAAGCAGCAAGGGTGCTCCTGAACAGATCATTGATCTCTGTGAGCTCCGTGGTGAGACGTTGAAAAAGGCTCATGAGATCATTGCCAATTTTGCTGAACGCGGTCTGCGTTCCTTGGGAGTTGCCAGACAGGTGAATTTTCCTAAATATGCAGTACTTGTTCATGATGATTCTACAGTACTTATGAATTCCTAACTAATTGAATTGGGCCATATGCTCTCTCCATTTGCAGACAGTCCCAGAGAATACCAAGGAAAGTCCTGGAGGTCCATGGGAGTTTGTCGGTCTCTTGCCTCTCTTTGACCCTCCAAGGCATGACAGTGCAGAGACTATCCGCCGTGCTCTTGACCTTGGTGTCAATGTTAAGATGATCACCGGTGATCAACTCGCTATTGGCAAAGAAACCGGTCGTCGACTTGGGATGGGCACAAATATGTACCCCTCATCCTCTCTCCTTGGTCAGAGCCAGGATGAGTCAATTTCTTCCATACCAGTTGATGAGCTAATTGAGAAGGCTGATGGATTTGCTGGAGTCTTCCCCGGTATGTAATTTTCATTTTCATCAACTAAACACAAGATTCATATCTCATTTGAGTGCTTTAATTTATACAGAACAAAAGTATGAGATTGTCAAGAAGCTACAGGAGAGGAAACACATTTGTGGTATGACAGGAGATGGTGTGAATGATGCCCCAGCTCTGAAGAAGGCAGACATCGGCATTGCAGTCGCGGATGCGACCGATGCTGCCAGGAGTGCCTCAGACATTGTGTTAACTGAGCCCGGATTGAGTGTGATCATCAGTGCTGTATTGACAAGCAGAGCCATTTTCCAAAGGATGAAGAACTACACAATATATGCAGTTTCAATTACCATCCGAGTTGTGTTGGGATTCTTGCTCGTCGCTCTCATCTGGAAGTTCGACTTCCCTCCATTCATGGTTTTGATTATTGCCGTACTCAATGATGGTACCATCATGACCATCTCCAAGGATAGAGTGAAGCCATCTCCAATGCCCGACTCATGGAAGCTCAAGGAGATCTTTGCCACTGGTATCGTCCTCGGAACCTACATGGCTCTTTGGACTGCAATCTTCTTCTGGCTTGTCCATGACACCAACTTCTTCTCTGTAAGTAACTAACTCACTAAGAATATAAAGTCAAAAACATGTAGTTTGCTCCCAAAGGTTTTGTGAGTTCGAGACTGTAGGGTTCGGCTAGTCTCCAGTTTGGAACCCGGATTCATAAAGTGAAGCTAATATAAGCTTAAAAATTGCAGAAAAACTTTGGAGTGAGACCGATCTTTGACAAACCAGATCAGCTTGCATCAGCTCTGTATCTCCAAGTGAGCATCATCAGTCAAGCACTTATCTTTGTAACAAGGTCAAGGAGCTGGTCCTTCCTGGAGCGCCCTGGTTTCATGCTTATTACTGCCTTCCTTGTAGCACAATTGGTCAGTAAATTTCATGTAAAAATTTCACTTGCACAAGACAATGCTTGAATCAATATTAGTTTCTAACTTTTTGGTGCTTGTTCTATACACAGCTTGCCACTCTTATCGCTGTATATGCAAGCTGGGGCTTTGCAAGAGTTGACGGCGTTGGATGGGGATGGGCTGGAGTCATCTGGCTGTTCAGCATTGTCACATACTTCCCTCTTGATCCCATCAAGTTCCTCATTCGCTATGCATTGAGTGGCAGGGCCTGGGATAACATGCTCCAGAACAAGGTTTTTACACTAAACCAACGTCAGAAAAATTCTTCAATAAAACAAACGCATCAATCGAACACTTTCTTTTGATTATGAAAACAGTTTATATATTTTACTAACTCGATTGTTTTGTGCAATCTAGACTGCTTTCACAACCAAGAAAGACTTTGGCAAGGGAGAAAGGGAGGCACAATGGGCAATGGCGCAACGCACCATGCACGGTCTCCCGACCGGTGACGGTGAAGGTAAAGGTAAAGAGAAGGGCAACTACCATGATTTGAATGAGCTTGCTGAGCAGGCCAAGAGGCGTGCTGAAGTTGCAAGGTATCCTGGTATATATATATATATATAGTCATTCTCCAATGCATAATCAACTTTTAAACATCAGATAATATAAATTCTTGATGTTACTTGAGAGAGCTCCACACCCTCAAAGGCACGTTGAATCAGTAGTGAAGTTGAAAGGTCTGGATATCGAACCATCCACAGCATTACACAGTGTGAGAAAGTATGCTCAAGGATGAGCAGGAAAAACATTGGAAAGCCAAGAAATTAAAGTAAAGGAGGAACAAGGAAAGAAGACCAAAGTGGGAAAATGGGAGAAGGGATTGAAGTTTGATGAATCCTTTTTCTACTTTCTTTCTTTTTATGTACTTGTTTTTTTTCTGTTTGGAGATTGTATTTTATTTTATTTTTTTAAAAAAAATTATTTAATATTATTTTATAGGAAAAATTAGGAGATGGATTTATTTGTTTGCTGCTTTTTTTTAGAATTACATTGAAATGGAGAAAATAAATCCAAAGTAATGAATGACAAAGGCCTCAAGGGACTCTAATTCTATTATTAAATTATTTGTTACCATTTGTTTATTTCTTTGATTTTTTTTTTTTTGTTTAATTAGAGTGTTTAAACCAGTTTACATGTACTTTAACTAATTTTCAGAAGATACATAAGTTGGTTCGAACATTTCAATTACAAAAAAAAAAAAAAAAATTACTAAACCTTAAATTTATTAATGAAGTCAAGACTTTCTCTCTATTCCTCATGCTCTAAATTACTCAAAAAATGCTAAAAATAAAAAGAAATTTGAAACTCATCCATCCATTAATATCGTAAAAATACAATTTTATTTTTAATTTAAGAAAAAACTATAGTATAAAATTCACAATTGGGCAATTTTTTTTATTACTAACAAATAATATATTTTATTCTAAACTCTTGCAAGACCAAAACTGAGATCAATTAACGGTACTGTCAAGCCACGTGGCTCTTTGAAACATATTCCCGCGGTTCCATTTCCCGCCCACTTGAACCAACCATATAAAAACCGCCACCGCCACTGATACACACAACAAAACTCTTCGTTATCAAAACCACAAACACTCTGAATCTGTTCGACTTTGTGTTCAAATGGCGTCTGGACAACTGATGATACGAGCGAAAACGACTTCAAAACATTAAACGAAACGACGAGGTTTTTGCTCTCTTAAAATACTCTCCAAGGCCTCCACTCTCCTGCTGCTGGAAAGCGCCAAAAGTATACGTCTTTTTTCTCTCTATATGCGTTGTGTTTGATTTTTAATTTTTATTTAAGACCCATCTTATTTTCTCATTTTTTTGGGGTTCATTTGGATTAAAAGAAAAAAAAAAAAAAAACCTATTTTTGCCCTAAAGCCATCTTTTTTTCTAGAGAAATCATGTGGGTATTGATAATGAATAAGGCTTGTGATTTTTCATGTAAATTTTATTTCTATTGAATTGATGTTTGATATGTACAAAGCTGGGTCGGAGAACAAACCCACTTCATTTTCTTATTTTAGGTACTAATAAATAGATTGAAAAGAAAAACTATTTCTGCACCAATCTATCATTTTTGTGGAGAAATTTTTAGGGTTTTGGGAGTGAATGAAGCCAGTGATAAATAAATTAACCGGTATTCTGAAATGTTAAACTTGTAACAACATGAATTTTAGCATAGAAAGATGCAAATAGGCTTTGAATATAACATATTTGATGTTTGGTTTTGAATATAGTGGTATTTGTGAAAATAAGTCTTTTATTGTTCTGTTGTGCATTGATGTGTAAACACAAAGTTCATTCGTGCACGTATGTTAATTTGTTGGTGGCAGAGTTGAGACTAAATCATATAAAGTCAGTCCACAGAAGAAGGTCAAATCCGAGACTCCAGTTGTATCAGCGATCTCTAAGAACTCGAGGGATGCCGCCGGATTCAAAGGGTTTAACTGATCATTTGGCTCATTCTGATATAAAAAATTCGAAGTCTTTTTCTAGAGGAGTCCTCTTTTCCTGATGTGAGTGGTCCTATTAGTTTCAAAGATGCTTAGGCTGATAGAAGTGAGTCTGGTTCTGATAGATCACTTATCGATGCCATTTTGAGTGTTGCTAAGCAACCCCATGGTGGTTTAATTGAAGAGAAAGCTGATAGAGTTTTGGATATTGAAAAGAAACAACGAGTGGCTGTTTGTGTTAAACCAGAATGTGATGAGAACTTGAGTGAAAAATGTGATTTGGGTTCCTTAGTTAAAGATTTCGATGGGTCTAAGGCTTGTAAATGAGTTCAGTGGAAAGCATGACGCTTGTTCTTCTGATCTAATGAAGGGTGTGGTTAAGACAGAGAAGAGTGATCATGGGAGTCATGTTGATTTGGATCATTGACTTTGAAGCCAAACAATATTGCACGACTTATGCCTGGAAGATACGGATAGTGAATTTTTTCCTTCTAATGACATGAGGATGATTATGGCTGGAATAAGTATGGGACGTTGCATTTTGGAATTTAAATCCTATGCAAGAAGGAGAAGATGGGATTTATTTGTACCGCACTCATACTGGTCCTATATCAGGAATTGTAGTTCAACAATCTTGCTTGTCTAAGGTACTTGTTGTCTGAAACATTTAGAAGTCTCATACATTACTTTGCAGTTTCCATTTTGTTATACATTCTCTTATGTCTTTCACATGTCACTTGACTAAGCAACGGAATTTAAAATGCTGTAGGTGTTTTTTAACCAAGTACCGAAACATAAGCTTTTAGTCTTATTTTGTGATTTTGTGAGGCAATTAGTTAGTATTTTGTAATCTTCCGTGCTATTCTTATATTATTTAATGTGTCTTGTCCTCCATGAGATGTTACTGATCTAAGTGTTTTGATTTTAATTTCAGATCTTTACCTGCTATGATGTTTCATCCGATTGATGGATGTTGAAAGGAGGTATTTGATTTGGTTCACTCCAGTGAGTACTCCATATATCTCTTTCACAAAACCCAAACAACGTGAACACCTTATATTTTAGTGAGTCAAGGGGGATTAAATATCTGGGATGTTAGAACTAAAAAATCCCACAACTGATGTCGTGTTCATGAAGCTAGGATCAACACCATTGATTTTAACTCACAAAACCTTAGTATCATGGCTAGTAGTTCCTCAGATGGGACTGCTTGCCTTTGGGATTTGAGACGTATGCATACTCATAAACCCGACCCTTTGAAGTAGTAAGTCATAAAAGGCTGTGCATGCTGCATACTTCTCCGCCGGCTGGGAAATACCTCGCAACAACAAGGTTTGTTATTTTGTTAAGGTCACACATTTAGCTTTTATTCCTCTGTCTTAGATTAATGCTATTTCATTAAGCACTAATTTCTAGTTTTTTCGTGTAGTTATGATGATAACGTTGGAATATTGAGTGGAGTCAACTTTGAGGACACTTCCATGATACACCATAATAATCAGACAGGCAGATGGTTATCATCTTTCAGGTCTTCCTCTTGCCTGAAGTGCTAACATGGGTCTTTCATTTCAAATTATCTGCTTTATGTTTTATGACCAATCCAACAGCTTTTTGGTGGAAAACATTTTTCTGATCCTTATTTTCTTAATTTTCCCATCTTAATATGTGGTTTCCTGTGTCAAATGCAATTTTTGCAATAAAATGGCATCAATGCCAAGACCCCGATAAATAGTCTAATCCCTTGAAATTGGAAAGCCATGTCTAACAGGCCTAAATTCAGGCATTTCTTGCTTATTTCTCATGAAATGAACAGTATGATGATGCTATGGGGACAAAGTTGGGGTTGTAACCAATATTTTCTGCTTCTGCAGTGAATGTTTTTTTATATATTATGAAAGTTGAGTATATTTTTAACACAACTTGCTTCTTTATGTTGGAGCAGAGCGGCATGGGGCTGGGACGATTCATATGTCTTCATCGGCAACATGAGAAGAGGAGTCGATGTAATTTCTCCAGCTCTAAGAATAACAATAAAGACTTTAGAGAGCCCACATATGTCTGCAATTCCTTATAGATTTCATGCACACCCTTATGAAGTTGGGATGCTGGCAGGAGCCACAAGTGGAGGACAGGTTTATGTGTGGACATCAAGCCAGGAATCTGCAGAAGAGCAATAATATTGTTGCTAAATGACACGCAAATGTTTTTGTTACCCAATTGAGAAGACACTCATGGCTTGCAGGATTTACTTTTAGTTGTCAAACTGGATTATCCTTACGGTTTTGAAACTGCTCTATGAGGGAAAGTATATTACTAGTTTTAGTGAACTTTCATATAATCTGTAAATTTACAGTAAGATCGAGTTAATTTTTGATGTAGCAATTAAATCGCATCCCATGTTATCATCAAGGTATTGTTTACACTTTACAACTCTAAATTTTCACAATAAAACGGAGTTGATTTTTGATGTCTCTCTTCTTGTTGTGAGAGCAGAGCAATTTGGGGTTGATATTATTCTTGTGTCTTCACCGGCAGAGTTAAAAGAGGAATTGATGTCCTGTCTCTAGCTGAACAAAAGATATGTTTTCAAGGAATCTGTAAAAATATTATTGAAACACTATACCTTTGTTTGTTTCACTATTTTGAATTATTTTTTCGTTATTTTATTTGTATTAAAAAACATAATATGTGTTTGTTTATTTATTAGGATCATTATTTTTAAAATCAATCCACATCAAATAAGATTTTTTTCTTTTGAAAGTGAAAAATGAAAATTGGGTGGGATTTGTTTTCTATTATCTTATTCTAACATTTTTTTAACTCTAATCAACTAAAAACAATTATATTTTACAATAAAACTTTATACATTAACAAAAACACTCGCACCCACCTAAGCCATTCCAAGCCGCCAACAACCATCGCTAGCCACTGTCAGCCGCTATCGTCGAAACGATGCACAACCGGCCTAGCCATTAACAACCAGATCTACGGTTAGAGATCTGGTCATTGATGATGGCCATAGTTTGGTTGTCAACAACGACGACTAGATCCTAGCCAACCAGATTCAATCGATCATATGTCATTTCGATGACTACTATCTGATAGCGGTGGTCAACGGTCGACAGTTTTTGGATGTTATTGTATATACATGTTATTCAAGTGTTTCAACACCAAATAATACGGAAATTAAATCAGTCAACTGCAACAAAAAGCATTGTTTTGTTCGCCATGATTCAACCATTTATTGTTGTAACCTGAACTTGCAAAAGCACTACACAACAGTTATCATAAAAACTAAATAAGAGTATAACAACGCAACAACAAAACAATCTAAAACAACGAAAAAATCGTATAGCAGCAAAAATACCAAAAACCGTTTGATTATACAAACGAAACACACACAAAAAAAAAAAAATCGATAAAAAAGAAGAATGCAAAAGAAAAGAAAAAGTACCGATGAAAATAGCATAAACCTGGGATGACTTTTTATTTTCTCAAGCAATAAGAGGGTTTTTATTATTAACTCAATCGATTCTCAGAAAATATATTATATTACCTTCATTGGTAATAACTAAAAATCTCGTTCTCATACTATTATTTGAATTGCCCGAGTGGTCCCAAGATTTAAAGGATTGGAAAAAAGAAATCCATGTTAAATGCACTTATAATGGTTTTCAATTATCCGAAACAGAATTTCCGGACAACTGGTTAACAGACGGTATTCAGATAAAGATCCTATTTCCTTTTTACCTAAAACCCCGGCGCAGATTTAAGTTAATGCAAATGTTCAACAACAACCGAAATAAAAAGAGAATTGTTTGCCACATAAATCAGTCAACAGTAATAAAATAATTGTTGATAAGAGAGAATTAAAAGCAAATGTTCAGCAACAACTGAAATAAAAAGCAAATTGTTCGCCACATAAATTAGTCAATAGTAATAAAATAATTGTTGATAATTCTGCCTTACAATTGATCATACAGTTTCAAATCATAATTCAAAAAGGAATGATCAACAACAATTACAATTCTAAGAAATTCAACAAAATAATTAACACAATTGTTCCCAATGATTCGCGTAGACACCTTCAATTGAAAACAATATTTATTATTAAATTTAACCAACAACTACAATTATATAAAAATGGTTCCTCACATAAATGACTCAAAAGCAACAAAAACACTGTTCAAAATTATTCACCACATGGATAAAACAAAACCTGCACTTAATAATAAATAATCAAACAGGACCTCTAACAATACAACAGTAGACTAATTCCAACCAACCTAGCTGTCCATAGTTTTATTACTTTATTTCAAAGCCACTCTCCGAGGAGCACATTATTGTGCCAAAAACCTCTTCAAATCATCTAGCTACAATTCCTGAAATTGTTACGTAAATAATTGAAGTGCTCCTTGGACAAATTTCCAGCTTCTTTATGGCTAGTTTCATTTCCTTCATTTTCGTTATTTTTGAATCATACGATATTTTTTTATTCATTTTTAAGTATTGTACCAACCTCTAATATAAGTTATTTGTAGGAATTCTAACATGAATTTCACTCGATTCTAACAATTAATTACAAGATCTACATATTGATTATAGAATACTAAATTTAAAGATTAAATATTAGAAAAACCTGATTCTGTTATGGTTTCTGAATTTCTTGAATTCGCTCCAGAATCTCGACTTCCAAATAGGGTTTAGTGTATAATTGCATTTTAGAAAGATGACCTAGCCAATTTATATCAATTTATTGGGTTCTCCCATTAAGGGTCTAATAAACTTTAAAGCCTATTACAGGCTCAAACCCACACTTGTCATCAACCTAAATTATATAAAATAAAGTGTATTAGACAAATTCTGGAATGATCATACAAACCCATTATGATATCTCATTGGATTATGTATTTATCTAGTTTTATCAAATTAAATCATAATTACTGTTAGTCCACGATTGAGGATTTTCTAACATTAGACTTAAATATTAATTAATATTCCTACTTGACTAACTTAAGCTTTTAAGGTTATGTCAAGTGGTAACTTAACATGAGTTATTATTTGGATATGATAAAAGTGTCGGACTGCCCCTTTAAGCTTTTAGCCGGGGTTGGGTTTACAAAAGTTTTTGTATGTAAAAATATTTATTTCATATTTTTTTAATTATTTCTAACTTTGGCCTTTATTTCCTAAACTCAATCATTTATTCCCATTAAATGCAATTTTTTTTTCTTTTTTTTCTAAATAAACTTCTATACTTTGATTTCCCTCATTCGTTTAACATGTTTAGCCCCTTCAAACTTTTTTTCCCGATTCTGCAATTGCATAATAATAAGGGTAAGGATAAACTTTAAACTATGATGAAAGTAACACAAAGAAAAAGTATAATATAAAACCAAATCCTAAAATATTAATGATATTTTATAAAATATAAGAAAATTAAAGATAAATCCGAAAAAGGTGACATATAGATAAATGCATCTCATAAAGTCTATAGTAACTCATCTAGCTACAGTAGCTGACATTGTCACATCATTAATTGAGCTGCTCTGTCCACAAATTTCTGCCTTTTGTTTATCTTCATTTTGTTCATTTCCATCTTTTTGTTTCCAACTTTGAATCTCGATATCTTTCAACTCATTTTTTAGCATTGTGAAAACCTCAAGCATGGACGGTCTATCATTTGGGTTTTCTTAGACACCTAACAAAGTTATTTGCAAACATCTTATGAGTTTACAAGAGGAAGTTACATCATCTAGTGATAGATCCATAAACTCTATGCCTTTACCATCTTTCCACAGCTCATATGCCTGAAGATGATAAAATATAAGTACTTTTGATAACTTATCTTGTTAGTGATTAGTCACTAACTTTGGACTATTTCTTATTAAGAGGCCAACGACTAGCAACTAGCCTTTAATCCATAATTTAAAAACTTCAACACATTCACATTAGAGATGACTACAGATACCAAATACTAAAGGTTACAAGAGAAACTTACATAATCTAATTATCTAGGAAGTTTAAGCACCCATTAACTCTTTTTGCGCTCATGATTTCAAGAAGTAAGACACCAAAACTATAAACATCAGACTTTGTAGAGTATATACCCCTTCTCAAGAACTTAGGAGGAACATAGCCCCTATGTTTAGGAATTATAAACAATTACTAAACCATATTAAACCGAGTATGTAATAGTATTAAATCCTGCCACTAGTACTCATCCTATGGTTACTAGAGCCAAAGCCAAGGCCCATAACATTGTCCTTCTTTCCACTTCTGCACTTGATACTATGGAACCAGTATCTGTAACTGAAGCACTTACACATCCTACTTGGAAGGCTGCTATACAGTTTGAATATGATGCTTTGTTGTCTAATAAAACCTGGGAACTTGTTCCTGCCTCATCCGAGATACAACCAGTTGGGTGTAAGTGGGTTTTTAAAATAAAAACTAATCATGATGGCTCTATTCAGCGGTTTAAGGCTAGAATGATGGCTAAAGGATTCCAGCAGACCCCTGGTATTGATTATCTTGAAACTTTTAGTCTTGTGGTGAAGTCTCCCACTGTTAGAGTTATACTGAGTTTGGCTGTGAGTTATGGTTGGGATATACAACAAGTTGACATTAATAATGCTTTTTTGAATGGTGATCTTACAGAAAAAGTTTATATGGTTCAGCCTAAGGGTTTTGTGAGTCCTCATCATCCTCATCATGTATGTCGGCTTACCAAGGCTCTGTATGGTCTGAAACAGGCACCAAGGTCCTGGTTCGATAAATTAAAGAAAGCTTCATTCCTTGGCAGATCTGAGTCTGTTTGTTTACAAAAAAGATGAGAAGGTAATGTATGTATTGGTATATGTTGATGACATATTACTCACTGGCAATGATTTCAGCCTAGTTCAGCAAACTGTCACTGATCTAAATACTCAATTTGCTTTGAAGGCATTAGGTTCACTCAAATACTTTCTAGGTTTTGAGGTGACAAGAAGAAAGTCAAGTCTTCATATGACATAGGAAAAATATGCCAAAGACTTGCTGATTAAAACTAACATGCTTGGCAGCAAGCCTTGCTCCACTCCAATGGAAATTGGGACCAAACTTACCCTTGAAGATAGTGAACCATTTGAAAATTCAGCCCTTTACGGGATTACAGTTGGTGCTCTACAGTATTTGACACTGTCTAGACTAGATATTTCTTATGCTGTGAATAAGTTGGGTTAATTCTTGAAAGCCCCCACTCAGCTACATTGGCAAGCTTGTAAAAGCCTATTTACTTTTCTGTTTTCTTTTATTTTGTGTGTTTGACTGTGGTTTCATCATATTCAAATCTTATAAACTTAAATCTCAAAATCATTTGTCGGCAGTGTGGAATGTAACAAAAAATTTGTACATTTTATATGGTATATTTGCTGCTTATAGACAGACATTATTAGAATAATAACGGAAATGATCGGCAAGATGACAATAACTATTGAATTATTATTGCCTACGTGCAGCCTCAGNAGAAGCAAATGTAAGGATGGAGACCCTTTTTGCATCCGGACTAATTTGCACTCACATTTTGCCATTCCTAACCCTTAAAAAGGACTAGAAAATCGTGTATAATATGTTGGAGTCATAAACTCATCTGTAGATAGCTTAAATGGTTAGAGCAAATTAGAAATAATGTGGATAGACGTACGATCTCAGGTTTAATTCCCCATATGAGTATTCACAATTTAGGTAAGGGCCATGACAGTGGGTTGCTTCCTCTGCCGAGCTTGGGCAGAATAACAAAGCAAGTATTTGTAGCATAGCAAAAATGTGTTCCTCGTCATTAATATGTTTGCTCACGGTAGTTGTGGCCTCTCGGGAGAATTGATGATTGTATCTTTGATGCACTTACTAATACTAGTATATTTGAGAATTCTTAATTGGCTAATTGTAAATAGCCCTAGGACTATGGAACAAATGATTATCCTGAACCTGCACCAAGGTATTGACTATGATTCTAAAATATCACAGAAGAGAATGCGATATGATGAGATAGAATGCAATAGAAACAAAGACACAAGGAACGAATTACCTACTTTTAACGGTCAAAATGAACTCTTTCATTTTGACATTCTGAATTCATTAATTCGGAATGAATCAAATCTCCTCAAATAGCGTTCGAACCTACGACCAGTCGATTAACAACCGACTGCTTAAGTGGAGGGTTGTGACTGTGGGTTGCTGAGCTAGTCTCTTCGGAAGATAGGTGCATGTAAGTTGGCCCGGACACTTTGGTTTCAAAAAAAAAAAAAAAAATGTTGGAGTCATAATATTAATAATATGGTATTTTTTCTACTATTAATGTATTATAGTAACAATATACTCATAATATTTAATGGTATAACTTGTAAGATTCAAGTTTGTTAATATGAAATTAGTAAATCTCACATTGAAGTTGTATCATGAAACTATTAAATTTTGAAAAATGTTACAAGTCTAACTTATAAATTAAGACTAATATTTTCTAAGTTTCATTTGTTACAAGATACCATTATTCAATACTACAAGTCTCTTATTATTCCATTATTTTTATTGTATGTATAGTCAATAAAATATCTTCAATAATATATAGTCAAATTCATATAAAGATATTGTATATATTACCTTAACATATGAGTTNGAGGATTGTGTATCATCTAATGATGGATCTATAAACTCCATGCCTTTGTCATCTTTTCACAACTCATATAGCTGAAATTGTATATGAAAATATATATATCGAATTAAATATTTCCAATACTAATTAGTAATATTAATGGTCTGTTCTTGGGGAAACTTACATGCTTTAGAAGGCTCAAGTCTTCGTGCGGGCATATAAACATGAAACCTTTTTTCCACTTATGATTTGTAAAAGTAGAACCCCAAAACTATAGACATCAAGTTTAGTTGAATATATGCTTCTTTTAACATAACGCCGGAGCATAAGACAAAAAAAAGACATGGGAAAGATATTTTAAAAGAGATGCTTACCTTTTTCACTTGGAAGGCTATAAATAAAGTCTTGCTTTTTTCCTTGTAATCATCCATTATCATTATCAAAATATTTGAGTTAAGCACTTGCTTATCTCTTCCTCTTTGAGGTTTCTTTTAGTTATCCTTGGCTTAGCCAACCAAGGTGAGCTTTTTGGCTATTCTTGTCATAGTAGGGTTTATTCTAATCTCACCATAATTGGCATTCATAGTGGGGTTTTCAACCTCGCCAAAATTGGGGTTCTCGCGACGTCCCAACGTCATAATATATTCAGGAGGGATATAACCACTATATTGAATTATCGGAGATAGTGTGTTAAGCATGTGTCTTAACAAGTGCAAGCTTACAAAGCAATATAGAATAAAAGAAGATTGTTGTGTACTTACTATGTTCCAACAATTCGTTTTGTTTGATGATCATTTTCCACAAAAGTTTTGGCTATACCAAGATATGATATTTTAGGCTTCATATTTTCATCCAATAATATATTACTAAGTTTTAGGTCTCGATGAATAATAGTCAATCTCGAATATTATTAGAGATACATAAGCCCTTGGATAATCCCTACTATGATTTGAACACCTTTTGTCTGTTAGGGCCAAAAATCGTCCTTGGCCCGAATAGGAAAACGGGCTCGACACTGAAGAAGAAGCCAAGCCCAATCCCGATATGACCCAACCAGATTAGGCCCATTCGGTACAAGATATAGCCAGCCCAAACCACGTGGGCATGAGCCTCCTAATCTCGGTCCATTTCCTAGGTCCATGGGCGAATCTAAAGCCCACAACCCCCTCAGAATCCTTTCCTACTCCTGATCAATCTCCCATTCAAGGTCACATTCCTATTCCTAATCACTTTCCTACTCGGAGTTACTCTCCTAATCAAAATCACCTTCCTATCTGGATACTGGTAAGACAGCTTACCATGGCCCTAATTCTTCTAGGGTTTGCATCAGAGTCATACTAGGACTCCTACTTCTACCAGGATTGGGAGACCAGACGACCACTATATAAGCAGAAGCCAGCCCTCTCACAAAGGGGAGATGACATTACACCTTCACACTGAAAGCTCCGACTTGAGAGCTCCACATCACCGCCATAGTCACAGTCCCCGACTAGACTTCTGGTAACCTGTACTCCCTAACCCTCACTATATTAGCCTCTCTAAGCCTTGCTGACTTGAGCGTCGGAGTGCCTACGGCAAACACCACCCCGGTGTTTCCCGTTCGCTTCANTATTTCATGTAAATTTTTGGAAAAGATCTTAATTATAAATATTATTATTGAAAGAATGTCCTTGAAATTAGGAGAAATTATTTAAATAAAATCAATTTTAAATATTTATTACCCAAAATCACAATCTAATTTATTTAATTTTCTATATAATGATTTAATTAGAACTAGATTTATGAACTCGTCCGAGTCACTAAAAAGGTTAAAAAGAAAACAAATTAATATTAATAAATAATAATTAGAAGACGGCTGCTATAATTTCGGTAATCTGAATGAATTAACTAATTAACATCCATTAACCACAAAATTAATTAATTTTATAAAAATAAAATAAATAAAATATAAATAAAAACACAAACTACTCCAACCAAAAAACCAACTCAACTGGTTCTGTCTCTGAGTCTCTTTCTCCTTCTTCTTCTCCATCTTATTCTCCCTCTCTGATCTACCCAAAACGCACCGTTTTGTCAACCTCTTTCTCTCGTACAACGTAGTCTAACCTGTTCTTCTTTTACATTGTAACTTAATGTTTTAGTTTTTATTTTATTCTTTAGTTTTTGTTTTCTTTTTTTGGATTTAAAAGCAGAGGAGAGACACCCCAAGCTAAGCTTGGGATCCGAATTTCAAATGGAGGCAACAACAGCAGAGAGATGTTATATTGATGAAGAAGCTCCTGACCCCAATTCTTGTTACTTGCAAAAGTTCAAACTTTACGAGACTCTCTCGGTAAAGTTTGAGTTTTTTACTTCTGTTTTTTCATGTTTTCTGAAGCGTTCATGGTAAAGATTTTGATTTGTTTTTGGGAAACAGAATTTTTACATGATTGGAAGATACAAAAACAGAAAACTATGGAGGGTTTTGAAGATTAACAGATTAGACCTATCAGAGCTTAGCATTCTTGAAGATACTTCAACTTATTCAGATTTTGAAGTTCAAGAATTGATTAAAACAATTCATGAAGGGAACCGGTCAACGGGTGGCCTTAAATTGGTTACAATATGTTATGGAATAGTTGGTATGTATATATCTATGTAAGTTTTTTCATATGGCATAAGGTTGTTTATGATTTGATTCATTATAATGGGGTGTTTCTTGTATGAATTTTTAGGATTTATAAAGTTTTTGGAGCCTTATTATATGGTGGTGATAACGGAGAGGAGGAAGATTGGATCAATATGTGGGCATACAATATATGCCGTGGCGAAAACCGACATGATCGCAGTTCAACATTCATCTGTGCTATCAAATTTGGCTTATTCTAAGAATGAGAAAAGGTCTTTTGTCAATTTTGCCAGTAATTGTTGTAATATGTATAACTTGGTACTTTTGAGGAGACTTGTGAATTTGTATTTAGATTGTTATAAGATGTTTAAGTGTTTGATTGTCTTTATTTTTGTTGTTCTTGTTGTCAATAAAATTCTCTTGGACATTTTGGTCGTAGATGAGTTCCACATTGTGGAGGTAATACATAATCTTTGTTTTATATTTGTTCGTATACTAGTATAGCTCGTGTGAGCTTTAACTATTGAATTGCTGTCAGGCTTTAACAATTTTGATTTCTGTATATTCATTGTTATTCCATCCTTCTTTTAGATGTAGATGAGTTCCACATTGCGGAGGTAATCCGTGATTCTTGTTATTATTTTTGTTGGTACACTAGTACCTCCTTTTATTGACTGGCATCAGTTTTTGCTATTTAGACTACTTTATTTTCAATGTTATTGCATTGCTGTTTTAGTTTATATCATTTGTAGAGGATACTTGTACTTTAATTTCCTGGATATGTACAGGAGCACACCACATGTGATGTTAATATAACATATTGAGTGAGACAAGGTATCATCGGAGTTTCTGGGGGATTTGCTTCTTTCATTTTTGTTTTAAGTTTAAGCTTTTCTGCTGTCATTCCTTTTTTTTTTTTTTTTTATCAATGTATTTTATTTTTTTACTTTGTCTTGCTTTTCTTTCTGAAGTAAACCATTTTTCTCTTGCTGTTGATGTAGATACAAGAAGCTCCTGAGCACCGTGGATCTTACAAAGGACTTCTTTTTCAGCTACTCATACAATGTCATGCATAGTCTTCAAAAGAACTTATGTAATAATGGGACAGGACAGTTGCTTTATGAAACAATGTTCGTTTGGAATGAATTCCTGACTCGTGGAATCCGGAACACTCTCAAAAATGCTCTTTGGACTGTTGCATTAGTCTATGGCTTCTTTAAGCAGGTACATTATGCTATCAATATCAGAAGTAATAGAGGTGTTGCTTTGCTAATATCATATATAATTTTGTTTATAAACCTTCTATTTTGTTTTGATTATGAGTTCAGTTGTATGCCAATCTTGCTTGTTCATACTTCCATATTTGTGTTGCTTCTTCGTAGATCTTCACTTCTTTTACTCGTATAGCAGATGTTTCTTTCTTTAATAAGTTTATGCATACTGTTATTTGTGGCTTCTACAGCCGGAAGCTATCAAGTTTTTCGTTGTTTAGTTTGCCTTATGTCTATAATCAGTGAAATTCCATCCTCAAGCATTTGTATGAGGCAAGCACTTGCAGGATGATTTTAGTGAGTTATGCTGCCTGGGAGATTTTAAATGTTGAATATGGATATTTACACTGTTATGTTTGTTATCAGGAAAAATATACAGTATCCGGCAAGGACTTCAAATTGACTCTCATTGCTAGACGCTCGCGGCATTATGCTGGTACTAGGTATGAGATTTTGTTTCTTAACGAGTAATGTATTAAAGCACAAATACTATTGTGAGATGCTTAATTCTTTTGGCTTCGAAAGCTTATAGATCCCAGTTTTCTGAATTACATTTTTTTTTCTAATATTTATATTCTTCTGCTATGTGATATTTTAATATTCCCATTACTGGCTGACTTTGACTCAATATGTTTCTCACTTTGTTTCTCTTTTCATCATATAGATATTTGAAACGCGGTGTCAATGAAAAGGGTAGAGTGGCTAATGATGTTGAGACAGAACAAATTGTGTTTGAGGATGTTCCTGATGGAAGCCCATTCCAACTAAGTTCTATAGTGCAGATTCGAGGGTCAATCCCACTTTTCTGGTCTCAAGAGACTTCGCGATTGAATATTAAACCTGACATTATATGTATGATTTAACCACACTAAACTAAATTACACTCAACCGTAAATTTTATAAAGAATTTGATCATTTTTCTTTTTGTTTACAGTATCAAAGAAGGATCAAAATTACGAGGCCACAAGACTTCATTTTGAAAATCTTGTAAAGAGATATGGAAATCCTATAATTCTTCTTAATTTGATAAGGGTAAGTTTTCCCCATTTGTTAAGTGACTGAATGTGGCGTTTTCATATCTGCATAGTCTTCTATTTATGCCAATCTCTCAGATTCTTTATTAACTGTTCTCTTTTTGGCTCCCATCTTGTGTGGTTGGTAGACACGTGAGAAAAAGCCTCGAGAAACCATTCTTCGTGCAGAGTTTGAAAACGCTGTTCGATTTGTTAATAAAAATTTAACTAAAGAAAATCGGATAAGATTATTCAACTTGGATCTTCAGAAGTACTCTAGAAAGTAATATGTCTTCCCCTTGGTTACACATTAAGTTTTCCCTTTTCAAGAATTTGAATGGTTGTTGACATGAATACATCTTGTTTATTTTCAAGCAGGGCAACACATGCATTGACACTTCTCAGCAGATTGGGCTTAATTGCATTAGGGGCAACCGGTGTCTTTTATTGTCGAGTTACACCTGAAAAAAGGCCTGGATTGTTGAATTTATCCTGCTTTGAGTAAGTTAAAGTTGTTGCTACTAATTTTATGTGTTTTTTTGGGGACAAAATTTATGATCTTAACATTTTCTTACACTTCTTGATTTCATTGAATTAAGTTATGAAATTCTTCACCCAATCGTGGTGTAATTTCATCCTGAAATAAATTTTATGCGACCTCATCCTTGTGGGTTTGCTTTTATGTTTCTCTCTTGTACAGTGCTCAATTTGTAATCAAAATAATTCATTCTGGATTTGCATTGTAAACTTAAAAAAAAAAAACATTTTTGCATTTTCCTTGGAACATTCTTTCTATCTGTTTACTGAGGTTGCATCACAAATGCAAATGCAGAAAAACTGAAGACAACTACCCTCCCCAAAATCTTTCTCATGAAAATGAATGTGGTGAGAGTACGGACATAGAATCTAGTAATGGAAGCCATGAAGCTTGTGTAAATCCGTGTGTTGAGGTCCTGAAATTGCAAAATGGGGTCCTTAGAACCAATTGCATTGATTGTTTAGACCGCACAAATGTTGCCCAGTATGCCTATGGGTTGGTGGCTCTTGGATGTCAGCTACAAATTTTAGGACTTATCAACTCCGCATATATTGGTTTAGATGACCCATTGGCTGTTGATTTAATGGATATTTATGAGACAATGGGTGACACGCTTGCGTTACAATATGGTGGTTCTGCGGCACACAACAAGGTATTGCTTATTGACTTTGGTTTTTCCTTAATATTGAAGTTCTTAAAGAAATTAAATATTTGTGAAATGTGTTTCTACTCAATATGCTAGCAAGTATAATTTGAGCTGCAAAGCTGAGTACTGCCAAATATTTTGAAAATTTTGTATACTAGTCTGCATGGCGCTTTTATATATCATCACCTGGTTTTAGTCAGTTCATTTTTTTTCTCATTTTTCCTTGATGATGCTAAACAGATATTTTCTGAAAGGAGAGGTCAATGGAAAGCAGCAACACAGTCTCAGGAATTTTTTAGAACTCTGCAACGTTACTATAGTAATGCTTATATTGATGCTGAAAAGCAAAGTGCCATTAATGTGTACGTTATATTTAATCTGTACTTTTCTATTAGCTATAGTTCTGTATTTGAAATTTAGTTGTCTTAAAATTATTTTTGTGGATACCAGCTTTATAGGCATCATGGATGCACCCTACTAATCTACCATGTTACTGATATTTGAGCAGGTTTTTGGGTCACTTTCAACCACAACCGGGTAAACCGGCTTTGTGGGAATTGGATTCAGATCAGCATTACAATATCGGTTTTCCTGAATCTAATTTTGCTGATGAGTATTCTAGGTAGCCACTCTGTTCCTCAATGTATTTCTTCCAATTTTACAATATTTGTCCTCAATTTATCAAAGGAAACTAATGACATGAGGGCAGACAATATGCTTGATCTGATGGTTGGACCTCATTCCAGTTTTCAGAATATCATGAAGCTAAAATATCTCTTTCCATGCTTCCTGACATTTTGTTAACTTCTTGCATAATCTTCTTATACACATATTCAGTGATCACAGTTTCATGAGGCATCTACTAACTTTATTCCTGCTAAAAACTGTAGGTTATTTTTTAAAAGATCACTTTCAGATGGCAATATTCTTTGTGAAAATGAATCATCTTTGTCAGTTATAAAGGCTGGACACAATGGACTTTTGCCTGATAAGCAAGGACGTGACAAATGTCTTTCAGAGTCCACTCCGGAGATCTCAACTTGTGGAGCTGATATGTCTTTTTCCAGGTTTGCTTAAATCACCACCCCCATAATTGCTACTTTGATTGTTGATAATTTTAGTATATTAGGCTCATTGTCAAGCATTTGAAAACAAGTTTCTCAGACTTAAAAATTCATACAAGTTGATGAAAGGGGTTCATCCTTTTTTAAAAAGATCATGGTTCAAAAACTTTTGCGCTTTTTTTAAATGTAGGTAAAAGACATTCAAAGTTTAGAAATAAAATATTTACTTTTTATGCTTTGCACATACAATCTTCTTTCTTTGTCTTTTTTTCTGCTGACTAGATACCGGCTGTCCGTTTAGGTATACACCATTAATGTCTTGCCGGAAGCTTTTTAGAGATATAGAAGAAGACCAATGTTTTGAGGTCGATAACTTCTTTGATACGGATAATGAAGATAAATATGACTTTACAAGTTTTCTTGATTTTGATTGGCGTTCTTCATCGGGGAATTCATGTGAAGAAGATATATATGAAAGGTATAGATTTCATTAGCCTATCAAGAATGGTACACTTTATTTATCTCTTATCATTGTCGAACATTTCTTTTCATAGAAGCTGAATCTGGTTCATGATCAATTTTTCTGGTTTTATCTGACTTAAAACGACATGACATGGTGCACAGAAATTGACTTTCAATTTTTGATTGATTTATTTGTATACAGGTCAGTTGCAAGTCAGTCTAGCACCAACCTTAAGGTCAGTGTTTAAATTTACTAGACTCTATGTTGCTACTTGCTTATTATTTCACATTTTGCTCTTCCGAGAGAATTGCACATTTAATTTATTCCACATTTTCCTCCAGGGAACTGATCAAATTGGCACTGAAGGCCCCGGAAATGCTGATTTGAACAAATTTGATGAGAGCTTTGTGAAGTGGGTTACAAATGGGGAGATGTTTTATTGAAGTTGATTATGCGGAGTTTACATGTTAATAGTTCCTTCAACCTTCGTTGCTGATTGAACCTCATCCGAAGGATGTGGATTCCATACAGAAAAATAAATGGAAGAGATCAACCGGAAAATCACAATTTTGGCTTTAATTATCGCGTTCACGAGTGACTTGTAGCATCGTCTAATTTGGCAGGGCAAGGACAGCACAAGGGTAAATAGCCATAGTTTTCAACCTTTTGTAAATAGTTTTAGAGTCATATTCTGCAGTTGGATTAGTTCCAATTGACAGTTTTTTAGTTCATAGTTTCCTTTATAATCTCCATGTTTATATTTTTCTCATCATTAATGGATACATAGCAAGATTCAATAAATGAATTACTCCACAGTAATCTTCATTCCACAAAACGGGGTGGAATTTAGTCCGGTAGCGTTATCAAACAGGTAAAAAGTGATCATAACTCACACAGGCGGAAAGAATTATGATTCAAACTTCAAAGAACTATCGTTTACTGTAGAGATTGCCCTAAATGAGTTGTTACTAGTATGAAACTTTAAATTCAGATTTAAGTGGGGGTTGTAATGTGCCCGAAAACTGGTTCGGACACCTTTATTATAAATAAATTGAAAAAAGAAAAAACTTCAAATTCAAGGCGATAATAGAGCATTGAACAGAACCTGGTTCATTTTTTTATGCCAGAGAGTTGCCTTGCAGTACTAAAATCCATATGAATGTTGTTTACTAAAATTCATATTTAATGTAATATTGATACATTGTACATCAATGCATGATCAAAATTCGAAGATTTCATATTTCAACTACAAATTAATGTTAACATTGATTTTGGTTCTTTGCTAAAAAGAGCTTCATATCACATAATATTGATTACACTATCATTTACATCAATAAACTCCTTTGATATTTCATATTATAAGTTGAGTTGACTTTTTCCCACCCAAAAAATTGGCTTAATGACACTTTACCAACCTCAGACTTTTAAAATATCATTTATCACTCAAAAATCATATTCCTTTAACAATTTCTATTAAACATATTATGAAGATAAAAATACCCTCACCAAAGATTAACCCCCAATCGTTGGAGACCGCAACTCGTATCAACTAAATTCTGGCATAAAAAATCGACGGTGTTAGGAAAGCAATTGGGGTTGGGAAACTTAGAGGTTTTGTAGCGGAAGGTCCAACGAGTCTGTGGGTGGTAACAGGAGCGATTTTGGCCGTCGGAATCTGACTTGAACAGAGAGAGGCACATGTTAGCAAGGGGAGGCGCACATTAGCAAAGTTGCAACCAATAGTTTTTGCCTTTTTCTAGCTGATTCTAACATCCAAAATCACTTTCGAGACCACCTACAAACTTTTCACGACCTCCTCTACAAAACTCACACCTCATTTTCCCTCCATATCTCCCTTTTTTCACCTATTTTTGCACCTTATTTTATTTTATTTTTTTTCTTTCCTATATCACCACTTCCAAACCCAATTTTGGCCAACTTCGACCATCAAAATCCAATCTACCACCGCCAAAAGACTCATCAGCCTCTCTACTACAAAAGTCCCAATAAGTCGAACCATTCTGATCTTTTGCCAAGGGCAACTAGAAAAAGGTTGGGAAATTATGAAAAACCCTAGAGAATGAGGCTTCAATCAATCGACAATGTTAGGGAAGTAATCGAGGTTGGGAAACTTGGGGATTTTAATGAGGGCACAATAGGCGAGGTGGGGGATAATTTCCAACGAAGAGGGCAACCAAAAAAAGGTTGAGAAATTACCAATGTTTTAAAACCCAACCTAGGAGGAAACTCGGTAAAATTGTCGGGTACCGGGTTAACCGGTTTAACCGATTTGATCACTAGTCAAACTGGTTGACAAAATTTTAAAATTTAGCAAATAAACCCCTAACAATTACGTTAAATACCTATAGGTTTAAAATTTAGCAAACACACCCCAAATACAAATTAGCCTGCAGTTGGTTAGGGACTGCGACACCCCAAATTGAACCCCAATCGCCCATTGAGCCAATTCCCCCGAAAATCTACCCAAGATATGGCCGATATCGGTTCGATTTCAGCCAAATCTCACCAATGCCGATGTCGGCGTTGTAGACCAGATCTCATAGACACCGGCATCAACAACCCTCCCCATCACCCTGAAAATACTACCCTCTTCCTCCTGGCCAAAACCCCCCTCACCACAATCCCGTTAGCCTCACCAACCGTCAGCAAAAGCCAATTGTTGTTGCCGTCAATGTTTTTTGATTTCCCACCGATTTACTCATCGAAAATCAAATCTGTCACTACCATTATACTCACTGACACTTTTTCTTCAAATGCCTCAACATCCCAATCTTTAATTGTTCGCCGATCATCAACTTAAATTTTAAGATTTTTAGTAAATAAGAATAATGTAAACCCAAGTTAATGAAGCTTTTGAGTCCCGATTAAACCCGATCGGGTTTTAAAATGATGAAAATTGCTAAGGACAGCCGATGTTTTAGGAGAGGTTGGGGATTTTAACGAGGGCACAACGGCCGAGGGGGGGGGAAATTTCCGATGCAGAAGGCAATAAAAAAAGGCTAAGAAATTACTAGGCCGACACATGCTTTAGGAGAGACTGATGAAGCCCAATAAACCATTCTATCCTCATTTATCACTGACTTTTAACCCTCCTACCCTTCCTCGCAACAAAAATTACCGTTTAAGAAAAATTACTAATGGTGATAATTAAATAATATTTTAAAAGAATGTCACTAAACCTTTTTTTTTTGGTGGGAGAAGCCCTCAACTCTCATAAGAGTATGGGCACTATTGAGCTTGTCAGAGTTGTACAACATGCAAAATAATGAGTCGGTTTGTTTTATTATTTTATGTCTTATTCTCAAAATAGTTATTTGTTTAATTATTTAAAAAATATTATTATATTTTATTTAGGCCTTTTAAGTTTATTAATTTAATTAAACACTCAAAAAAAAGTTTAAAAACTAATAAACACTCTCACCCACTCATAATTGTCAGATTCTGACAACCATCGTTGATGGTAACCGAAATTTGTCACAACAGAGTAGAAATTACCAGATCTGGCTGTCAACAAAGACCGTATCTTTGATCATCACTGACGGTCAGATCTGACATTTTTGGACAATCGACGACTAGATCTAACTATAGATTTAGTATTTTTCGATTAAATATATGATAAATCTAACTAGAAAAGGCTAGATCAACACACAACCAGTCAGATCCAACCAGTTTACGTTATAACGCCATTTTTCAACCAGATTCCGATAATGGTTACCGAAATCTAACACTATAGGTGGGTGAGATATTTTTATCATTTTACAAAAATTTTATATATTAAAACGTTTAGTTAAGTTAGCAAACCTTAAGAGTTTTTTTGTTAATTTTTAAATTTTAACTCGTAATAATCACCCTATTAACTATTCAATATTATTCCCAAATAACATAACAAACGAACCCATAACGTTTTAAGGCTGTTATAGCAAGGTAATTGTCGCCAATAGCATGGGGAATAGATTGGAGTTGACAAACACAAAAACTTGGGTAACTTTGGGATAATAATTGTAACATAACAAAATATTCATCACTTCAGATATCATCATCATGAATAACAAAACCTAACTCTCAATGTCTAAAACTAAACTGTGCCAAAAAAAAACCAAGTTCTTTGCCAAAACATAAAATAATAATAGTTCAAAACTAGGCCGTAATTATGAAGGGAATGGTAGGAAATGGGGTCAAGACAAAACTAGTTGCGCAATGCTGCCCTTAATCCCAGCCAGTAGCTTGAGGGGCAGGAGGGGCAGGTACGTCGGGGGCAACTCCAGCCAGTTGTGGAGCAGGCACGGCATCCCATCCCTCTCCAGCTGGCAAAGGAACTGCACAATCAAAAGTTCATTTGACAGGAGTAACTATTAAATCTTTAAACCATTGAAATTAGAACCGGTAGCAAGCAGATTAACCAAACCGAAATACAACAAACTTAGCGAAAACAAATAGATGAAGACTAACCGTCTGGGAAAAAGGTACCAGGAACAGCAGCAATGGGTTTCTGAGCTTCACCGGGCCACTGTGAATCAGAGATTTGGGTAGGCCATTGATCGCTAGCCAAGTTCATGGCATAGTCAGGAGCAGTACTTCCAAATTCAATGGGAGCAGCAAGCTCTTCTTCTTCAGCTTGCTTGGCCTCCTCAGGTTCCCTGTAGAAGAACAAGTCCACCTGCACATAGTAAAGATGCATAGATTAAACGCAGGAAAGTTGGCTCAATGTAAAGATATGAACATAATCCATGTCAACTTCTGGAAAACACTTGAATGAAAATACAGGAGGAAAGATATGATTGAATATCATCAATACAGAAGAGTTGAATAATAATGTTTGATAGATATATACCATGACATCCCACTTATGGCCAGGACGAATTGTGCCCCGCATCTGCAGAACCATCCTAGCCAAAAGCCAGAAGAGGCACCCAATGCTGTGCTTGCCCTTGTTATTGGCAGGGATACCAATATCAACATAACGCATTGGTGAATCAGTATCACAGAAGGCAATGGTGGGGATGTTCCCAAGAGCTGCTTCCTTAATAGGCTGCAATGTCATAGTGTTGGTTATAGTGTACATAACCAGAAAGTGCAGATATCCAGTGGAATAGCAACCAAACAAATTAGTTATACGACAAATGGAATACCATATACCTGGTGATCGGTTCTTGGATCAGTCAGGATAAGCAGACGAGGCTCACTGAACGAAGTCTGAAGCTGGTTGGTGAATGTACCAGGAGTGTGCCTTCCAGCAATGGCATGGCAACCAGTGTACTGGGCAAATTTCAGAACAGCTCTTTGACCATAGGGCCTAGCAGACTGGACAATAATGTCCTGAGGGTTCTCAATGGCAACAATAACTCTGGCTGCCATCTGAAGCTTCTCCCATGTCTTGCCAAGATTGATGATATAAATACCTATGCAAAAAGAATACAAAAATTAGGAATGAAGTAGTGAACTTATAATTATACACATGATAACATATTACTACTCAGATTTCAGCCCACAAGATTTCACAAGCGTTAAGCCAAAGGCCATCGAATCATGTGTTATAACATCCTGAACATGGCAAGTAAAACATCATACAGAAATCATCTAGTTCAATAGCACCCTAGGGGCAGACCCACCACACCAACTCTATTAACCACATTATAATGGACCAGAAAATTTGACAACATTTACATCTTTGTACTCGATGAAAAATCAAAGAAATTGTACAACCTCGCATGTCAATTAAACATAATGAAAAACATTTGAAAATTTTCTATTCTATCCTTCAATATTCTCAACGCCTATACATCTTATCCAAACAAAAAAAAATTCTCAACATTAAAAGAGAACATCCTCAGACACGTTAACTCCAACAAAACATTCAGAATCTCAATTCCCTAAACAATTACAAATGCAAAAAAGAACATAATTGAACACAAGACTATAAAATGTTTAATTAACAGTCACAACACTCTTTACACATTGAAATACAACTGCTCTTTGATGTACTCAATACTTCCTCAAGAGCAAGTATAGCACCTAAGAATCCAACATATCAGATCTCCCACTAACTCTAGCATTTTCTCATACGAATACCAGTAAATTCCAACAAAACATACCAAAAAAATAAAGAAAAATCCCCTAAAAAGAGTTACTTTAAAGACACAGAGCTACCTGCAGAACAACCATGAATACATATGCCACCGTTTAAAACATAATTAAAAACCAAAATATCTTAGCTTCAACGGATCAACGTATCATACAAGCACAAAAAACATAAAAACAAACAGCAAAATGAAAAACCACACAACTTAACTTACTTAATTCAATAAGAGCAAACGGATCAATATACACAATATCGAAATTAGAGGGACTTCAACAAAATATACCATCATTCCTGCGCTTGAAGACGTAACGTTCCATCTGGAAGTCACAGTTCTTGGTTCCAAGGTGTACTTCAGCAGCCAACATCATCTGAATGTCGGCCTCCTTCTGAGACAGCTGCCTCGGTGCAGTTGCATTAGATGACGCCATTTTTGCCCTGTTTTCTGCTTCTCTGTAGTAAACCCTAAGTGGGTTTAGAGTCTCGTGAGAGATTGAGAGCTGGAGAGTGGCGAAAAAGATGTGAGAAGAGTAGGGCTCGTTCAGAGAAAGAAAAAGAAACTGTAATTGTGTGGTTTATAAAGGTGATATTTAGGGTTGAGAAACCCTAGTTTGTTTAATGACGAATTTATCCCTTTGGGTTGTCATGGGCTGGATTTAGTATTATTGTTAGATCCGGCCCACATAGAATATGAAGATCTTTTGAGCTTTATATTTATGCCATACGTATTATGCAACATTATACAAATGTATTTTACAAGTTTAACATTTTTTGTTTACAAGTTTCATGTTATACGTTTACAAATTTTACATCGATATATTGACACAACCCTAGATTGTAACAAATCATCAAAATTGAGTTTGGTTGGTTAATTTTTGTAAATGTTTGCGAACATGATATGCACGAGGGCATGCATACAAATGGGTGTGAGAGAGTGTCATGACCTATTTCCATAACGTCGTGAGAAGAGCAGCAGGTGTGGAGAGTGTACGAGGTTGAAGGGTTTTTCAAAACATTCACATGGGTGTAACATGTAAGAAATGAGGGGTGTTTCCTCTTAGTATATTGGCATTACTTTATGGGAAGCTGATGCTTGTTTCCTACAACATGCAATATGTAGCAAGTATACTAGTTCCACAAGTAATATAATGACGAGTGAGTATCGTTCTCACGAGGATTGTTGCTAAACACTAAGTTTTCTACCGTTTTCAAGTTGAAGAAATTGAATTCTTTTTGGATTAAAGGGAGCAATTTAAACTATGATTAAAACAAAATTTTACTAAAAGAAACTTAAACTATGAAAGCAAGATTTAAAACGGGATAAAATTAATTCAAACAAACGGGTAGGGTTTTGACTTCATTCGGACTCTATGGGTTAAACTTTAAGAATTAAACTAAATTCAAATTCTCATACATTGATTGTAAATCGAACTCTCTAAAGTGTCTAACATACCTTTTCAGGCTATGTTGTCCTACTCTTCTCTATTAATCTTCCGCACCCCACAAAATGAAAGTTAATAAATCTAAGTTCATTAAGCATAAGAATCCTAGATTGATTTCATCGGTTCTTGAATCTATATCTAGCATCCAATAATACAACGGTGATTACCCATGAAGCTTAACATGAATTATCTCTCAATCTCATCATGTTCATCACATACAAACAATAAATACAGAATAATCACACAATCAAAGCAAAATCATATGAAATTAATAATCATTAACTTTCTAACCCATTAGAATCCGAACTACATCAAAACCCTAACCCAAACTAGGTTAGTTCATGGCTAAATCAATAAAACATTTAGAAGAAATGAAAAACTCCAGGTTCAACATAATGGAACAAAAGAAAAGGAAAAGAATCTCCCCAATTTGATAAATCCACTGGTTTTCTCGAATCTTCCAACTTTGTTAATCCAAAAATCACTCCAAAATGAATCTAAAAAATAATGTAAAAAAACTCTCTCTATCTCTCCACGAACACGCTAGACAAATAGACTAAGTCTCCCTTTTATACCTCGCCCAAAATATTGCAACTTAGCCTAAAAACGAAATTGTGCGTTTTACAGAAAGTGGAGTACGCAGACTTCGCCGCGGCAAAGAAAAAATCTGAATCTGGTGCGTCACTAACCCGTTTCACCGTGGCGAAGCTTCCTGAAGAATTCTGAAATTCCAGAATTGCCTTCCGCGTGCTTCTGAGTCCAAAAACTCCAAATCTACCTTTATTTGCTCAAAATTTCCATTTTTAACCTGAAACACGAAATGTAAGGAATTAAGTGTTAATTCAAGCAAAAATAGACTAAGAAGTATCTAAAATCCGGCCTAAAAGCTTAAATAAACTAGTATAATTCTCGGATTATCAAATACCCCCAAACTAAGATGATGCTCGTCACTGAGCATCAGGTACACAACAAGATAAAAGAAAAAACACAAATGTACAAAAATACACAACAGCAAATGACACAAATTAAATAAGAGAAACAAAAGACTCGACTCACAAAACAACTGCCTAGAATTTATACCAATCTCAAAAGTTGTTGCAAAATTATTAAAAGAAAAATGTTTAACACTCCAAGAAGTTATAAGTTGCATTGACTTTCTTTCTCAATTGGTCCCCCAAGTAGGTAATCCCCACTTCAATCCACCTTTCGACTTCCCGGATTATTTTATGCAGGAATGCAAAGTTTATCAAATGGTGGTAGACTCCATAATCCTAAATATCGAACTACTCTCAACTAATGAGGACTAGACAAAGATAAAAATCAGCAGGTCTTTATAAGCTTGTAACGTTAGGCTCGGGAAGTGGGTTCCAAGAAAAATGATAGGAAATACAAAGTAAGAGAACTCGGTTTTCCTCATGCAAACACTCAAATCAAATCGAACTCCATTTTTTCTCACCCACCAATCAACGTATCCACTAATTTACACCCCTCAAACTTGTGTCTTTCTTATTTTTGAAACCATAAATGCGCGGGTCGAAGGTGTACGTGACGTTGTTAAACCAGAGGTCGCCAAGTACTGCTATGCAGTTTTTAAGGCAGTTACTGGTTTCCAGCCGAGATACCCTTCAACTTGGTAAAAAAAGAAAAATTATAATAAATAATTTTTTTTTTTTTAATCACAATCGAAACACATCCATTGAATTGAGGTGAACTATCTCTTTTATTTTTATTGCCCTTCTCACAACCCCCAAACTATTCTTTTAGTCAATTCGTACAACTCTTCCCTTTCTTTGTGTTTGCATTATGATCGAATTCTTCTAAGGGTACGACAGAGTGTTTAAGGTACAAGGATCGGACAATAATGCCTAAATCATCTCCTCAACCATGTCTAATGCTAGAATTTCGCCTCAAACACTTCTCTACTAGGTTCTAAAGTCCACCAACATTATCAAACTTTACCTAGATACATAAAATGAATCTAAGCATGTCGAAAAAATGAAAATGGTGTTTTAACCACTCAACAAACCTCAATCAAAACTCAGTCAATAAACCTAAACTTGAAGCAATGCTTAACATTTCTCAACAATAAAAACGTAACAATCCAATTCGCGTCATTGATTTATACAATTCATCATCGGCAAAAACAATCAAACCAAAATAAAATCAACAAAATCAAAAATTTTCTAATTTTCCTACCCCCAACAAAAAATGACATTGTCCCCAATGTCCCATTACGCATAAATTAAGAATAGAAAAAAAAAAAAACAAAGGTACGAGATAGTTCTCTGATTAATCTGTGAAGTGTCGCTCCATAGTGCACACCCGATCTGTGACCTTTTCATCACCCAACATCTGTCAAAACAATTGAAACTGTGGTGTCCACTAGGTTAGAAAAATTTACAGACTAATATGAAAGTATTACAATCTAATCTCGTCCTTACATAAACTACAAATTACAAGAAAAATGAAACAATGAAAACAACTACAACAATCCAAAACAAAAATATAAACTGAGTTTAATGTTTGNAGTGCACACCCGATCTGTGACCTTTTCATCACCCAACATCTGTCAAAACAATTGAAACTGTGGTGTCCACTAGGTTAGAAAAATTTACAGACTAATATGAAAGTATTACAACCTAATCTCGTCCTTACACAAACTACAAATTACAAGAAAAATGAAACTACGAAAATAGCTACAACAATCCAAAACAAAAATATAAACTGAGTTTAATGTTTGAAATGAAAAACAAAATCAACTAAAACAAATGAAAATAAGGACAACAACACAGGTGTTCCGGTGCTCATTCTTCGCCTCCCTCGTCTTCCTCTTCTGATTCGGAGCCCATCCACTCATCTGAATCCCAGTCAGCCCATTGGAATCCTGAAGTGTCAATGTTGAGCTTGTTAAAGCTACTCTTCTACATCTCATACATCATCTAGGTCTGCTCAACCAACCAATCCTGACGTTTTGTCATCCGTTTCATCATACTCATGCTACATCATCTCCTTCTGTGTAGCTGTGGAGCTGAAGGATGTGACAGGGCCTTGTGTGGTTCTCTGCCATTTTGTTCCTGCCTTTGGTTGCTCAGCTTCTGGACGTTCAAGATGCTTCTGAAAATAATCTGAATCGAGGATAGGGGCAGCATGAATACGTTGCTCATCATCTCCTACCTTGCCTCTAACTCTAATGCACAAGGCTGTGATGAGATGTGGGAAAGAATAACTTGATCGCCTTGGTTTGGCGGCATAATGAATGTTGTTAAAGATAATTCTTCCCACATAGATACTCTTTCATGTGGCAATGGAATAAAGCAGTAATGCTTTTTCGTAAGTTACTGTGCTATAGTGCGTTTCCAGCATCAACTTCGCACTAACAAAATACTGCTACACTCGAGCAATCGGTGTCAAAGAAGTTCCCTTAATGGTCTTCTTTTGTTTCTTCGACACTGACCAAGTTGCATTCGGTTTTGCAATGACCAGAGGAATGATACTATCCTCAAACTGTGTCCCCCTAAACCTTCCATACTCATCCTGATCAAATCCAGGCAAGTTGTAAAACTCATTGATCACATCTGCTGTAAACGGCACATCAACCCCTCTCACAAATGCAAAACCTTCCTCACAATCCGGCATAAAACTCCCTTACTAGCGGCTCTACAACCGATTGTGCAGAAGCACTCATAAACAGTTCCCATCGTCTCCCTCGACTCCAATCCAACGCCTGACTCGTGGTCAATCCGCGCTCAGGAATAAAGCCCTTATCTCTTCTTTGGATAGCCCCTTGATATCGTTTTTGGGCTTCTTCATTCACAAAACGGTTATCCACTTTCATTCCTTTTCCCTTTCCTTTGTATGGCAACTTAATTTTGGGTGCCATTTCCTATAATCCAATTCATAACGCAACCCAAAAATTCAAGCCTAGGTTCCCCACAACAACCAATTCAAACCTAAAAAAGAAAATGGAAAACACTTCCAAAAATCTACAATCAGACCCCCAAACTATGATTTCTCCGAATTCAACAACACACTTCAAAACTCAACACCCACACTCCTCAAAATCACAACATGCACAATAAACCCTTCTTCAACAAAATCCAACTCACAAAATTCGCAACTC